TGAAGTCAAAAACGGGGGTTTTTTAGTTGGTAGAAATCCAACACTACCCAGTGTCACGGGACACTGGGTGTCTTCGAGAAGATTTTTATCCTCCAGCCACCGCCGGGCAAACAAAAAAAAAAAAAATGGGGAGTCAGTGAAGTGACAGCCGCGCCTGAGTGCAGAAGAGGTTAAACCCCGCGAGTTGGAAACGCGTGTTTTCCGTTTGTTATTGTTATTTTTTTTGTGAAGTTGACGTTAATTTAGAAGTTAGTTTGTTCCTGTTCCGTAGTTAAAGTTGTACAGAGTGGAATAAAAGTTGGAAGCAGAGGAAGGAGTTTAATACTCGGCCATCCACGGTACAATATATAGGGTATTTCATTTAGAAAAACACAACTTTGATACTTTTAGGGCTTTTGGGACACTCTGTACATTACAAAAATATTTTTAAAATGTGCACCCGATAGGTGTCTGTCGATTCATCAAATAATACTTTGCAAAAAACAAACGGGCTAACCGCAAACGTATATAGGTACAAAAAGTATTATATACTAAGAAAAATTATTATAAATTTACTTGTTTTATGCTAATTAAATATTAAAAAACAAATATTTTTTTCAAAATGTGTATTTAAAAAATATTTCTTTTTGCTACGAAGTATTTTCTGCTATTTGGGAATTCAAGGCTATTGCTCAAAGTCTTTTTTCACTGAAGAACAATGGAGTGATCGCATATTGCGAATAATCAATTAACTAATTTGAACTGAATTCAACTCGAACACAAACTCGTTCAGCTTATCCCAGAGCGGTACATAAAGAGCCATTTGATCTGGAGTGATAAACAACTTCGGGGCTCCGTTTAAAATCAAGTTGATCACATCGAGCAGTTCTTCTCTTACGCCATTTTCAATGTTTTTGAACTTAGATGTATCACTTACAAGGTGTTTGCATAAAACGTTAACAAAGCTTCCAATGGTTTTGTTGTATTTGTCAAACGAGAGGATTTTGCGCCAAACTCTTTCAAGTTTTTCTAGCTGCTTCAAACATTGCCGAATACATTTTTTGGTGTTTGGTTGTAGTTTCATTATAACAGTACCATCCAATTTAGCTTCTTTCATTGTTTCATCGGTCTCCTTCAGTTGCTTTAAAACGTACTGAATGAATATGTGGCGGCCGGTTGTGGACATATTTATAGCTTCTGCTAGAAAATTGAAAAAATCTAGCGGCTTCAAGTGTTTGGCATACAGCTTATCCCATGTGGCTGATTTGCATGCGATATACAGGCAGTTGTTCATAAAAACGGCGGCTGCTTGCGGCATTGCATTATCAGAGGATAAGTATGGCTTGTGGAACTCCGGCACAAAAACACAATACGTCGACATAATATTGCAAACTGCAATAAAACGTTTCGCATCACTATCACACTTTGGTGACTCTACTGCGGGTGGTTTGAGTAGCTGATCACAAAAGATCAATAACTCTTCAACGTGTCTTGAAACGGAGCATTGTGGAAATTCTAGATTGGAGCCTGCAATTCAACAGGAGATAATTTACTGCTAATTCAAACTGGGTGTTTTATCTGGGGGCGTTTTGAATCAAAAATATGTTGTCCACCCTGTAAAACTGGTTGTTTTTTAAATAATTTACTGTGTCAAGCAACAAATAATTTGCGTGATTAACCAGCGGATAGATTTATAAATAAATATCGCACCTAAAGGGTCCTGCGGATTATGTGCCACACCAACTTCGACTAAATCGAGCAAACTTTTTTTCATGATTTCCTTTGCTTGCGTTGTATATTTTCTGCACATTTTATCAATGCAAATATTTTTTTCTTGGCCAACGTACTCCAGAATGGATGGAGTCGCACTAGTAAATATTTGCGATTCTGAAAGGAAATAAAAAATAAAAAAATACATTATCACCGATCACGTTCGAAACGTTTTGCAAATGTTGCTCACCTAACAACGTTTTCTGTAGCTTATCAGTAGCATCAATAACGATCTTGTAGTTTTGCAGTTCCTGAACATCTGAAAGTATGGTGTCTTTCAAGCAATTTTTCACAATTAAGTCAGACAATTGACTATTAAAATCCGCGCCAATATATTGCAATACTGTGGTCGTTTCTGAGATGGTATAAGGCAAATTGGCCGCCAGGAAATTTACTACTTGCTCCAGATTATTAAAAACGGTTGAATAATTCGCTTTGTTACGCGATTCTTCGCGGACAGTCAGCAAATTATAAGCAGCATCTTCGTTTTCCGTCAATATTACGCTCTTATTTATAATAGGAACAAAGATATATTTCCACAGGTCGTTTGCTAATTGGTGCAAAAATGCCTCGCGTTCAACGCAACTGCACAATGCTGAAACAATGTTCTCCATTTCTTCATTTTGCTTTCTTATTTTTATTGTCGTGGTATATTTTGCGTCATCGCATATTATGTCGATGTTATCAGCAAATTTTTGGCCCAATTTTTGATGCAATCTAGAAAATCATTTATCAAATAGTAACTAGATTTTCATATCCAGGGTGGTTTTTTAGTGCGATAGAGTCCATTATTTCCGATGGTGTTGAACTTTCGAAAAATAGTTTCATATAAAAGTTGTTGACACCCAAAGTGCGCACATTTAAAAAATATCCTACATGATACAGAGTGTCTGAGAAAAGCGAGGCAAGATCAAAGTGTATTTTTCTAAATAGAACCACAGACAATTACAATAGTTAATTCTTAACGGATCCGTGGTGAATCGAAAGACGTATTTTTTGTATCTTTAACTGCTTTTTTGCTTCTACAATGAATTTTCAGATACCACGTTTTTAAACAAAATTTTACTGAAATGGCCATAGTAAGAAACGTCGCCAACGTCGCAAGTAAGAAAAAAACAATTTACGGTGCATATGCAGCGTTTCAAGCTGCATTCCATGAGCTAATGAAAAATGGGTAGTTCTATTTAAAAAAATGCACTTTGATCTTGCCTCCCTTTTCTGAGACACTCTGTATCATATAAGATATTTTTTAAATGTGCACACTTTATACGTCAACAAATTTTATATGAAACTATTTTTCGAAAGTTCAACACCAACGGAAATAATGGACTCTCTCGCACTAAAAAAACACCCTATATGTATATATTTCCTAAATGTAAAAGATATCATTCAGATTCTGCAGAGCCGCTTAACGTTGAATTTAGATTGCAATATTTATATGCAAGGTATCACAAAGTGGAAGTGAAAAACGTACGTTTCCTACTTCCCTACATATCTCCACATGTAAACTATTGGTTCAAAAATGAAGAACAAGAATTGTTAGTTAATGGCTTGAAACTTTCAATCATTTTTCAATCGCAACTTTACGGTGCTAATCTGATTAATGTTTAGTCGGTATCCCGCCAGTACAACAACCTGAAAGTCGGCGATTGGAACTCAATTAATTAAATTTTCCTAACTGTAAGCGAGCGGGTGATAAACTGGAAAACTTTTTGTAATTGTACTCCCGTTTTTATTTCTCTTAAAACGTTACTTACGTACTCTCCCTATCCGCCACCACCATTTGAAGAGTCTCAACAGCTTTGCGAATACTTTCGTCTGTGGGAACATCCTTGAAAATATTTTTTAAGGATTGTATCGCTTGATCACAGCCATCATATTGCGCGTGTTCTAGCTGATTTTTCAAATCATCAATCAATGTTAGTATGCTTCGAATACTAAGCAATCCCTGTAGGGTGCATTCAACTATTTTCAACTTTTCTTGGACATTTTTGGGGAGGTTTCGATTAACAGCAGATTGCAGTTTTGTGTTCAAACTTAACTCAATCCTACCCTCCAACTCATCTAATGCTTGTTGGCATCTCAATAGTTCTGTGACATGCATCCCATTTAATGTATTTCTGTAAATACCTTCTATAAGTTTTGATTGATTTTCAACATTTAAATCACTTACCGATGCTTGTATTTAACAAATACATCATCAACATGTTCCAAAATGTGTTTTCTCAATATTTCTATGTCTGTGCGTATGTCTGAAAGGCTTTGATTAAGATCTACGTTCGTTGCAGCCTCCAAAATGTTGCTAACAAAACTCATGATCGCCAAAAAATTGCTAAAATTCTTATCCAGAAATCTTCTAAGTAGGAGCAACTGCAGTAGCAATAAGTAAGATAAGGCGACGTGTTCGCAAGAAGTATTTTCTAATACTTTTTGAACCGTTTGCCTGCAATAAAACAGTTTTTTAATTTTATTTTAATTTGCGTCAGTTGGATTAGTTTTGGCAGTTTTGGTTTGTTTCGCATAGAATTGTTTTGAATATTTGCCATGTTGGTGGAGGCTTGACAACACCTTTGTAGTCCATTGTTTTCTGCTTGTATTTTTTTATAATGCTGTTATAATATAATTTTTTAAACTGCTGTTATATACAGGCTGTGTTGTGAGCACTTGATTCTAAGTGAAACAAACTTTCTAAAAAAACAAAATAGAGAGAAAAAAACGATCTGAGCTAAGTTTTGCTATGAAAAAATGACCGGCTTTTCTGATATTGCCGGGCAAAACTGTTCCAAATTTTTTTTTTATATCGGTAAACCGTTGCGACCGATTTTAATTTGTTAATGAAATACGCTTTAAATTTATTTTAATTTTAAGCAATCGAATTTTTCGTTGACTTGGTGCAAAAACTACCACAACTTTTTATTCTGTAGCTGGAATCAGCTGATTTTTTTTAAGTTCATGCACTAGTGCTTTTTGAAGATTTCTGCACTCTTATTAAAACTCTGCAACGTCCATAGTTGTTCTTCTTCTTCTCTGGTCGAATGACGTCCATAGTTTTTGCAAAAAAAAAATTATCAGCTTATCTCTTGAGGTTGCAAGTGCGACGTTGCCAACACACGGTTTTAACCATTTTGATTGTATTAATTTGCATGACGTCTATCAGCTGTTGTTGTTATTGACAGTGACAGTTTGGGGAAATTAAATGTTTTCATTCCACCCATTCATATAGTTTACACTGTGCATTTAATTATAGTGTTTCGTTACGTGGAGATTTCGGACTACAGTGATATTTATTTAACGATTAACAATGTGTAGTCTGAAGGCCAGTAACTCAGTTTGAGTAGACCAGTGTTTCAGTGAATCGGTTGTGGACAATGTAAAGTTACTTCACTGCGTCAAAGTAAGAATGGCCGACGGTCTTTCGACCGCCGACCGTATTTGCCGTATTTCCAGCAATATGAAGACCCCGGTTGGGCCCCGCGTGGTAACCATCAATAAAACGGAAACAGGTTTCGGCTTTAACGTACGCGGGCAGGTGAGCGAAGGTGGGCAACTTCGCAGCATCAATGGAGAACTATACGCCCCCCTTCAACATGTTAGCGCTGTACTGGATCATGGGGCCGCCGAACAGGCTGGCATCCGCAAAGGGGACCGTATTCTCGAAGTGTGAGTACTGAAAACATTTTCTGGCTTTATCTGCATGCAGTATTAATATCGATTTAATGTACACATGTCTGGTTAAGCAGACTGACCTCAAGCCTCAATACGACATTTGGAATGTGGAAAACTCCAGCTTTGTACCGTTCAGGTTATTGTAAACCCAAGTTTTGTTTAAAGTTTTAATTTTCGCCAGAAGGTCAATGAAATGGACAAATTAAGGCCGGCCAAAGTTTAACGTAAAAGCGACGTGATTGAAACGTTTCACCCGATTATCTACTTTCTTCATTATTAATTGGTTTGCTTTTAGAATTTTAAAATCGGGATTCAATTATTCACTGAAAGAGCACAGCAGATCACGAAATATGTTTCTTCAAAGTACTTTGCTATATTAAGGGCTCGTTAAATTTAATTATTTAAGCGACAATTTATTGTCGCTTATTAAAAGTACAAAATGTATTGTTTTGGTGTTTCAGAAATGGGGTAAATGTTGAGGGCTCCACTCACAAGCAAGTGGTGGATCTGATCAAGTCAGGTGGCGATGTTCTGAAGCTGACTGTTATCTCAGTCACCCAGCAGGTAAGAAAATATTAAAAATATATAATATATCTTTCTAGGAAATTACCTTAATAAAAAACTTAGTAGATCAAAGATAAAACTATAACAGATTGAATGCAAAAAGCTCCCAAGTTTATCTTTTTAGAGACTTATAACGCCCATAATGATTTCCTGGGCAACTGCTGGGGTTTGCCAAACAAACCCAGAAAGCAACCAATTTTTACTACCTTTTTTGTGTAATTTTTCAGGAGGCTGAGCGATTGGAGCCTACAGAAGAGAGCCAAGTGTACTACGATTACAGCGAGAAGCGATCTTTACCTATCAGTATTCCGGATTATCATTACAATGAATGGGGTGGCGAGCGGTATGTTGCGTTTAACATTTACATGGCTGGGCGCCATTTGTGCTCGCGAAGATACCGGGAATTTTCCAAGCTGCATCAAGATCTGAAGAAGGAATTTGTTGGTAGGTTTAGCTCGGTTGGCCGATCTGGTTCATTCCATCCCTACATAGATTTTTCGGAAAGCACACCCTAACGGGCAAAACATGCATTTAACACAACTGATTTTTTCTTTTAAAGGGTACAATTTTCCGAAACTGCCTGGAAAATGGCCGTTTACTTTAAGTGAACAGCAACTGGATGCCCGTCGAAGAGGATTAGAACAGTATTTAGAAAGAGTCTGTGCAGTTCGGGTAATTGCTGAGTCAGACATCATGCAAGAATTCCTTACCGATCCCGATGATGAAAGTAATAATATTCCAGTGGATTTGAAGGTAAAGGAGTGATATTGCATTTGAATATTTACTACTCCTTCCTGAGTTAGTCGCATTAAAGCAAATAAAAAAAAACGAGTCTTTCTTTGCCTGATATATTACAGATTTGTTATTTTGCGTGAACATAAAATTTCCCTTGTCGAACCGTTAACATTGAATATTCTAGATTTAAGGACGATTTGATTGAAATTCCAGGTATTGTTGCCAGATAGAGAAGTGGTAACAGTAACTCTGAAACGAAGCGCAAATGCTGATGAAGTATACGCAGCTGTAGTGAAAAAGATTTGTATGAGCATAAAGATGACAAAGTATTTTTATCTTTTCGAGATCGTCGAATACAACTTCGGTGCGTAATATTAGTGATGAAAATCAGGGTCAACAAATAACTGTGTTTTTTATTGGTCATAGAACGGAAACTGCAACCAACAGAATACCCTCATAACTTGTACATTCAGAATTATAGCACGGCCACAAGTACATGTCTCTCTATTAGGAAATGGCTTTTTTCGATACAGAAAGAGCTCACTTTGATGACGGATGTCCAAGCCACTTCTTACATTTTTTGGCAGGCAAGTCAAACGTGCGAAGCTAAGTAAATGTAGACGCTAATGTTATAACATCCTTCCAGGCTGTGGATGAAGTGAATAGAGGCTATATAAATGCAGGCGAACGGCTCTATCAACTGAAAGCCCTGCAGGACAATACACGTGCAGCTGAATACTTGAAATTAGCACGCGAATTGCCTGGGTATGGGGAAATAGTATTTCCACACTGTTCGTGCGACTCTAGGAAGGATGGCCATGTTATTTTATCAATAGGTGAGAGGAACTCTATAAATTTTGAAACTTTCTAGTGGCTATTTGGTTCAGTTGGAAAGATGCGAATTTTTAAAGAACAGAACGCAAATGACTAAGAACAAAATTGAGACCGATATTTCGTAAGATGGAAAAATTCAGACTTTCGGGCGATTTTTACGAAACTTTCAGCATTTCTAGGGTCAAGTGTCTTCTGAAGATGGTGAAAATTTCAGGTTGCTATTTAATTGAGTTGCGAACATGCGAATTTTTTATTTATGGAAAGAGCGCAGCTGAGTGAGAACAAAGTTGAATCCGATATTTCCTAGTGCGGTAAAATTCAGACTTCTGGGTGATTTCTACCAAACTTTCCTCATTTGCAGGATCAAGTGTTTTCTAAAGATGGTGAAAATGAGAATTTTTGGACTGCTTTAAATGAAAAGATGTTTTCTTATATATTAATTTGATTCGTTTCACTTGCAGGCATTAGTGGAATCAAGCTTCATGCATGCTTGGAAGATGGTGTTTTGGAAAGCCAAGTGGTGGTTTTAGAGTGGGATTGTGTAAGGCAATGGGAAATTGATGAGGAAGGCATGGCGTTCTGTCTCAAGTACAACAGACAAGACAAAACCCCTCGATGGCTGAAAATATTTACACCCTATGTAAGTCTGTTGATGCCTAAACGATTCGCTAATCATTCGTCTAATGAACTTTTCAGCATCAGTATCTTCTCGACTGTTTCGAGAAGGTAATAGAAGAAAGTAAATGGTTGGACACTGGTGATTGATTCTAGTGCCATGATTGGTTCTACGTTTGATTCTTGGTATTTTTTTCATTTATTAAATCGGGAACACTGAAATTATGCGAATATTTCCCTTAACTTAATGCGCATATCGTTGAAACTTGATTTAATTCTGTTTAATACTCGTTTCTTGACAATTATTTAAATACGCGGAGATTAAGCTCAAAGCATTTCTCTGTTCTAGGCAGTTGAGCAGTCGTTACTAGTTCTTGGGCAAAATGGTTTCCTTTCCTATGTAGGTAATTTAGTCTATTAGATACAAAAGTACTACTTCTAAGACGTTTCTAAAAATAAATGCAAAGTGATGCAACCAACCAGAGATCAGATCTAAACGGGGAAAGTGTGTGATAAGTTTCAGTTAACTTTACTGTGATATACGAGGTTTCTTAGTGAAATGAATGGTCAGGATTTGTGACTTATTTAATGGTTTAATGCCTCCTAAAAGAGGTAAGTTTTTCTTCGTGAAACAATATGAAATAGATTTAGTTCCGCTAAATTATTCAGTATTTGCCGCCGTTTTGTTGGATCTCAATCAGTTGAAAGACACATACAGGGGCTTCAAATTATACCTGTCGATGGCATTTGAAAATCCTGCATTTTATGAAAAACTAACTGGTCTTCTGATAGTAAAATGTCTTAGATTTTTCATTTCACCACCGAAAAGCAGTATTTGGTTGCATCACGCCGTGTTGAACGTGTACAAGTAAAACATTTGCCCGAATTCATAAATAGCTCTCTGCATGTTATAAAATAGTAGTCAATATTATTATGTGAAGACTATAAACGTTTAGTCAATTTTGAAACTGCGTTAGATAATTGAAGGGGATTTGCTTCAATTTCCTTCTATTGTTAATGTTAAAAACAACTTTCTATTCCTGTTTTTGCTCCAATTTTCACTCTTTCAACAAAAAAGCTCTTCCTATCATATGTATTATACAGCTATGAATAGCATAAAAGTAGTTAATCAACAAATAAATTTAAATAGTCCAGAACTATGAGTAATAGATAAAAAGAATAGTCGAATTTTAAGCCATTTACACATCATTGCATCTTACGGATCATGACGAATAATACAAAATCATTCTTGGAAAATAGACTAACAAAATCACAGGGTTTTGATAATTTTTTAAAAATTGTTGAAACTACCCAGAAAAAGTGGGATTTGTTTGTTGCAAATTGGTTTTCCTGTTAAGTAGTTGCCTGGTTTAAATGAATATTTGAAAGGTCTATTCACAAACGGCTATTTAAGCTCCCGAAACTCTAAACGCTAAAAAGAAAAACGGCGTTAGCAACAGCGAATTATTCATTAACATTCTAGATTGCGTTTTTGAGGATCTTTGCCAAGTAAAATCGAATTATTGCCCACTTTTAAAGCATCTTGTATTCGGACATTATTTTCAATAAGGCAATGATTTGCCAAGGCTGGATGGTCCTTTATTACATACTCTCCTTAAAACCGTGGTAAAATAATGATTATTTTACAAGAAATTAAATTCGTCTTTGAGATTGTGATTTTACGTATTGAGCTGTGAAAGTAAGCAGTGAAAATCTGCGTGCCATGACCAAAATGGCATACGGAATTTAATTTATTTATCCGTTTTTCGAACAATACTAATTGAATAGGTGGATTAATTATGTCATTTTGAACCTAAAACTCGTAACATCATATGTATTTTATTACTTCTGTATTGTTGAACATTGAAGGACATTTGCATAAAGTTAAAAAATAAAGTGGGAAACTACTGGAAGGTAGATAAAGGGGTGATTGGATTGATTAAATTGGAGCCAACGCTTAGGCTGAGATCAATTGAGTTTAGATTTGCGTGTTGGCACCGAATTTTTTGTTGTTAAAAACCCGTGCTTATCAAGGGAATTTTCACTAATTCTCACTAATTAAATAATAATTTTCACTAATTAAATTTTTACTAATTTTATCGGCTCTGTAAAATTTGTGAAACCCAAAGATGCAAATTGTATACTTTTTTTTAGGAAAATCCGAAAAAGGTCATCGGTATTTGTGCATAACAAATTTGCTGTTTGTTTAATTTTTGCAGGAGCAATTTTTTCTAGAGCGTAATTTCCAAGACGAGTAGGTTTATTTTTCATGTTTGTTCTTCATCGCCACTCGCGCGATTTTGGCTTTTAATGGTAATTTTTTTTTGGTTTTTTGCCGTTTTTGTCTTTCTTCGGACTAATTTTTTTGCCAATTTAGTTGGTTTCGTGCCTTTTCCCGTTTTTCGCTCTATTGCAACTGTATTCCCATCAGGAACTTCTTTTTAAATTCGCTCAGATAATCACCTCCTGAGGATTGGCCACGTTCTTAAATATCACCCTGTATAATGAATACGCTGTAAAATATTTTGAAATTATTAACTTTGATAAAACCGCATTAATTTTGTATAATTTATATAAAAAACAGCTTTTGCAAGTTTTCCAACTTGATTTTACTTTATGCTTATGCCTTCCGTTTTGTAGTTCTCCATTGCCGAATAATTTGGAGAAATAGACGAACAAGTAAATTTTAACTCTAGCATTTTTAATAAGAATACGAATATTATTCACGTTTGTATTAGTTGTACTTTTTAAATGAAATTAAATTATTTGACTGTTGCATGTATTATGGAAAAAGTGTTAGTAAATTGATTGATTAATTGCACAAAATCAGTGTTAAGTTTATTATAGTCTGATAGCTGGATTATATACGATTATTAAGCAACTAGAAGGTGGTTTGATTAGTGCTTTTGATTGAAATTCCCAGTGCTTCCCCCCGGAGTTAACGACATTTTCCTGCAAAAGTGTACGCGCGAGTTCAACTACCGATGGTGGCGCTGCGAATTCATGACATTTATACCATAAAACAATACTTACACACTTTTCGATCTGTTTCTATTTCTTTAAAAGCTTGTAAAAGTTGATTAGGACAAAAGACAACCAATCGCAATCAGATTTAAACACTAATGTCAACAAAACAAATGTCAAATTACTACTTAACTTGTAGTTATGATTTTAGCCATCGGGGCGCTCCGCTAATATCGATTTTTGGGAATCAAACTAGCGAAGAATTTTGCCCAGTCCCGTCTTTATCTATGCTCAGTCCTATTTGCTGTCCTTCTCTTGTGCATGTCAATGGTTGCTGTGAGCATACAAAGTAAGGTTATAACCGGAATGAAGCAAAATTTTCTTGGTGTAAACCACAAAATATCCCCCCTTATGGGGTATGTCCTGTGATGTAAACAACTTGTACATGTCTTCATCTATGGTAAACAACACAATTTCCATTTATAATTGTAATAAACTGTGCTGGAATATTTGAAAATGGACTCACTAAACGTGTACGAAATTGCGAATGTTCAGAGAGAAAATATCCTGCTGTTTTTGCAGGGCGCTTCTGAAGGGTAAGTGTTTAATTTCTCTTCCATATTTGCATAGAGGAAACAGGGGAACCCGATGATCAGGCCCTTGGGTTTGCATCCAACACTATGCTCATCTTAAGGAAAATTCATTTGCCAACCACTTTTTTTAGTGATTTTTAGGGGTCGTTTTTTCTTTTTCCAGCTTGGACAATGCCAGCGCCTGCCACCTCCTGAATCAGAAACTTGCTCAATACACAAGCACAGTCTACAAAGGTGGCGATAACATTTACAATAAGCTGTTACATGAGATTCGGTCGAAAATGGACACCGAATTTACTCTGAGAGTCCCGAAGCACCTTAAAAAGCTGGACTTAAACGCCCAAATTACCAAACTGGATTGTTCTGAACAGGGACTACACTGTGCCAAATCTGAATTAATCAGCGAATCCGAACTTAAGCAGTTTGCGGACTGGTTTGCTGCGAAACAACAGCCATCTATATTGCGCAAATTTACAGATAATGAGAGCAATATAATTGAAACTCCGCAAGTCTTGCAAAGCAAATCTCAGTTTTCGGGTGCTGGTCGAATTGCCAACAGGAAAACTGATTTGTCCCAATTCACCACTGCCAGGCACGAACTGGAGAACCAGAAATTTGCCAGAAAAGTAGGCACAGGCCTGGGCCAGTCTTATTCAGACGATAACATCAATACGGAGTCCAGAAAGAAACTGGGCAGTAGAAGAACTGCCAAGGGCAAGTTTGTGTCCCCACTTCTAGCACACAGAGAAAGGTTACTTTTTTATAGTTTAGTCGCCTATGTGTTCACCACAGTCTTGTTTTAACACTCAGCGAATCGAAAAATGAAGAAAAAGGAAGTTCAACGTTGGTGGACGACCGGCTGAAGAACATTGATCCCAAAATGGTCGAGCTAATAACCGCAGAGATTATGGATAAAGGACCTGAAGTGGCCTGGAACGATATTGCTGGTCTGGAATTTGCAAAGGCTGCCATTCAAGAAGCGGTAGTGTGGCCTTTATTGCGGCCCGATATTTTTACAGGATTACGCAAACCGCCAAAGGGTATATTGCTCTTTGGACCTCCAGGGACTGGTAAAACTTTAATCGGTAAATGCTTAATTATTTCTGTTAATGATTGATGCGAAATTGTGGCCTTTGTGAGTTGAATACTGCAGGAGGAGTTTCACAAAAATGTCTTGTGGTTGCAAAACGTTGGCTTTTCATTTAATGCAAATTGTCATTTTTCCAGGAAAATGCGTTGCTTCCCAAAGCAAATCAACATTTTTTAGCATCAGCGCTTCATCGTTAACATCGAAATGGATTGGGGACGGCGAAAAAATGGTCAGAGCTCTTTTTGTGGTTGCCCGAGTCCATCAGCCCTCTGTAAGTAGATAAATATGAACTGAGGAACAAGAAGATAGGGTTTTTAGATTTATTTTTTAGAAGGGTTTTTCCATCCCTCGCGTTTTCAGCTGTTTGCGTTTGAAATTCGAATTTTTAAACAGAATCGTCAGTTTTCCCGCGGGGAACAAACTAGTTTCAAAAAATTCCCTTAAACTCGTTGATGATGGTGGAAAGTTGAAACTTTCGGCACTTTATATTTTTTTAGGTTCAGGAAATCCACAGTTTCCCTGTGGAGAAATAAACTAGTTTGGAAAAATTCCCCTGAACTCGATGAAAGTATTAAAAACACCTTTATTCGAGTCAATTTTTGGTTGTTGCACTTACTATCCAGATTTTCTAGGTGATTTTTATTGACGAAGTCGACTCGCTTTTGACCCAACGAAGCGACACCGAACACGAAAGCTCTCGGCGTATAAAAACTGAGTTCTTAGTGCAGTTGGATGGAGCCACCACCGATAGTGAGGAGCGACTTTTGGTTATTGGGGCCACTAATCGGCCTCAAGAGCTGGACGAGGCCGCACGCCGACGTTTCGTTAAACGCCTGTACATTCCCTTGCCGGAACACCAGGTAAAATGTTTAATAAAACGGCACTAACAATGGATGCAAAACTGACCACAAAATTTGTTAGGCCAGAGTCGATTTACTGAAGCAGCTGATGGGCAGCGAGCGACATTCTTTAACGGATGACCAAATTGAAGCCATCGCCCAGCAATCTGCGGGTTACTCGGGAGCGGATATTAAACACTTGTGTTCTGAAGCTGCTCTGGAGCCGATCAGATCACTGGACTTGTCGAATATTGAAAATATTCAGGCTTCGCAAGTGCCGTCCGTATCGGTAACCGATTTCCAAAAGGCCCTAAGCAAGGTAAGGGCCAGTGTTTGTCCAAATGATTTAGTCCAGTACCTGCGCTGGAACGAGACTTATGGTTCTGGAATTAGCTTTGTTTGACTGTGGCATAATTTTTCGTGTTTAAATTATAGTAGTTTGTGTGAAATGAAATATATTTCTCGGTTCGTAATGTTTTTAGTGCCACTATTCCGCATACAAAACAGGTAATACATTTTCAGCTTCATGTATATGTTTTCGGCGCGATTGATATTTAATTAAATACCCTCACTTGCTAATAGGGGTCTAAAATAAAAGATATGGATACGATTAAAAAATTAAAAAGCATTTGTATATTACGAAACAAATCACAATATTTACATTAAACGATTTTATCATAAATAAATAATATAATCACATTATTTGCAAAAGTAATACAATTTTCACATGCATCGTTTTACCAAACATTAAATGTTGTAATTTGAATGTAAAGTTTGTATTCAAAATACCAATTAACTAATTAATTACATAACTAATAATCAAGGGGATATTTAAAAGTTGGACAGTCTTTTTGGTAAATATCTTGTTCATTTTAGTATTGTTCAAATCGGGTCCAGGACAGATATTTGAATTTGAATTAATTTACTTATACAGAAATTACAGACACCTATACTTTATTACGAACAAACATTGGAACACTTATTATTTAAATGGGCCTGTCTTATTCGATATTAGTCAGAATGTGAGAAGTCGGTTTGTGAACAAAACCGACTTCTCACCACGGGTACCAACCAAGTTCAGCCTATTGGGGACCAAAATCAGTAGCTTAAATTAGAAGAAGCAAATATGAAATTATTTGTCGAAAAACTGGTTATCAAGTGCATACATGTGTATTCTAAAAATAACGTTAAACTTTCAATACTCATATAAAATTACACATGTAAACTAAAAGCTACAAGGTAGAACGAATAAGGCATAATTACTCAATAACACAAATTGAAACCTTCAAAATTATTTTACAATGCGTATTAGAAGAGTAGAGTAAATCCACACTATGGAAGTAGTAACCACTTGTTTTTAACAAATGAACAAATTTTTTACATTCATCCAGTTGCAGACGCTGTAGGTGTTTAAAGACATTTCAGCACGACGTAATTATTTATCGTAAACCGACACAAATCAAGCAAATTATATTTTTGCCAGTTTATGATGCTAAAAATGGGTCATTATTTTAGTTTCAAACCAAAAAATCACAACAAAGTCGTTGCTCCAACTCGAACTTTTATCAATAATTATCGTTTTTGAATCTAATACTATAATTCAAAGGCGAAAATTAAATGAAAGTAATAGCAGCTACCAGTTGCTGTGAGTGTGTAAACACCAGCGATTTTTTTCATTGAAAAAATACAGGTGAACTAAGCTTATAATAGCGCAGAACATGAAAATACGACTAGACAAAACAGAAAAATCAAGTACCTACTTTATTCTTATTATTTAAAACAGGAGAGAGTCCAGAGAGAAATTAGAAGCATTCATTGCATCAGAGCTTTAAAGTTTGTTAAAAAATGTCGGCTGTACGCACCCCGTTCCACAATGTCCAAAACACCCACTTCCGCAACTTCATCGTTTGTATATTAATTACAGTATTAGATATATTTAATTAAAACCCTAACTAATCAGATTCTTCCTCAACTCCTTGATCAAATCCAGCCAAATCGACCGACTGCAGGTACCCCTTCATAAGAGCGTATTCTATTAGTGCTAGATGACAAAATATATATTGATCTGGCATTTGGATGGAGTAAGCTCGTTGCGATCGAATTTTTTCCACTGTTCCGCGTATGTCGGCGGTGCCGACATCTTCTAGCCTCGATATGCAAATGTCTAGAGTACAAAACGTTCCTAGAAAAAATGGTAAACATTGATCGTTGGCCTGGTTGAACAGAGACCGAAATGGTATTTTTACCTGTACGCCCAATTCCAGCACTACAATGGACAACAATGGGCGGGCCTCTAGGGTGGCCCGCCCATGTATCCTCTAAAGCGTTCACCATGCTCGCCTGTTGCCTCCTCACCCTATCCAAAAATTCGATCATTGCCTTAGCGGAAGCAGGAACTCCATAATCGGGCCACGACGTAAATTGCCAATGCGACACTTCCCTGGTTTCCTCCGTCTGAAATACGAACATTAATTAACGGAAATAGGCAAATGTTGCGATGTGAATACATTGGCAGTATAAAGTGCAAGTTTCCGAATCGCCAATCTCAGGCCGAACCCAGCTGATGAGAGCTAATAGGCTCGAAACCGGTCCTGGGGGTGCCTGAGGTTAGCGCGTTTCGAAATCTGCACTTGCCTATTTCAAACGCTCATGACGGCTCTGCTGATGCCGAGAGCCTTTCATTGTTCATTAATTAATATAGTTTATAAAATAGCAATTTCCAAAGTTTAGTGTTTTATTCTTGTGTACAAAACCCTCAATACAAAAATCTGCTTAGCATCTTTGACTCAAACTCAAATTGGATCAATTGCATGATTGAAAAAACCGTTTTTAGATGTAGAGGCAACGGAATGCGGACACTGGTACTGTATAGAGGAGTTTTCAGCTTTTTATTTGAGGTGTGGATTTCTTTTAATTTGAGTCATTGGTACTTTTATAAATAATTCTGAAAATTAAAAAAATATATATCTTTTTCAAAATATCGGGTATCGAGTATCGGTATCGGTACGATGTATTTTAGTGAAACTCGCTGTGAATTTGTTCTTATGTAAGACTCATATTTGGATGAAACAACCGAGTTCATCCGTTTTGGACAAGTGGAGTGAGGGTCGTGGTACAAAAACTACCAGAACTTTTTATTTGGTGGATGAAATAAAACTCTTTTTTTAGGTTGATGCACTAATCATTTGTTCACAATTTTCTGCTCTTTGTAAAATCTTGTAGCATTCAGTTTTTACGAAAAAAAAATTTCTGTTTCCTTGCCACTTAACAATGTTAGACATTTACTGCAAATATCATGATGAGGCATAAAATAATTGTAAATCAATCTCACAAATTCGTTTTGAATGACCTTCTCTAATGAAAAATTGACCGACATAGTCAAAGTATTAGGGTTTTGCAAAGACAACTTGCGTGAAAGCGTACGCGTTTACGCGGCGCATATTTGCAGTTAATGTCTAGCATTGTTAAGTGATTAGAAATTATTTGAAATTATATTAGAAATTTTACAAAGAGCACAAAATTGTGAACAAATGATTAGCGCATCAACTTAAAAAAATTGAGTTGATCTCATCCTCCAACTAAAAAGTTCTGATAGTTTTTGTACCACGACACTCAAGAATTCACCACTTGTACAAAGCGGATACATTCGATTGTTTCATTAAAATATGAGTCTTACATAACAACAAATTTACAGCGAGTTTCACTAAAATACATCGTACCATTCTCTCAATATTTCAAAAGATAGTTTTTTGAAGAACTTTGACCATCAATAGAAGAGGAGCCAGAAATTTGTTGTTAATAAAAGTTAGGTCAGATCGTCTTCTTTTGATTCAAAGAATATCGCATTACCCTTTTGATCATGTGCTTACGGGGAAACCCTGTATAGGGTGTTCCATTTAAAATAAGCAAGTTGATACTTCCGGTATAACCGGAAGTGTGGCCATCTTGAAAGTATTTTAGATCGCTTGCCAATGACTTCGACACACTGTTCAATTTTAAAATTTCTCCAAATTATAGTTTGCCACCCTGTATAACTTTATAAAAGTGACGTTTGCACAAGCGTATAAAAAGAAAACAATTTAGAGGGAGTGTTCAGTTGCAAAATTGAATCAGTCAAAAGTTGATTTCGCAGAAATCCAGTATTTCAACAATATGTTTGGTTTCTGGTTTCTTTCAGTTTTATTTGGGAAAAATGTGCGCAATTCAAACGTTGTCGCAGGGTTAATAAGATCTTATCTGCACCTTCATTCACTTTCAGGCCTAGGAATTTATTGAATTTCGCCCTTAGAACGTTAGGAATCTTCACTTTCACCGGGAAAATTGCTTGCGTGAGACAACTTGTAAAATGTACTCAACTAGAACATTTCTGCCCATCTTGCTACCAAACGGGAACAAAAGTGCAAATATGCGTTTTATTAGTCTATTTTTCAAAATGATATTTAGAATAAAACTTCTCTCGTCAGATATGCCAGAAATTAAAATATTAAATATGTTGTCTACACCCGCCATTTTTAATTTTGTGAAGTGTCGCAATATTTGACAGTCTGACGTTCAGTTGTCAATCTGCCGCAATATAATTTCTGTCTCCAGAAAACCGACAAAAGTTGTACAGAAAACTCCTGGGAAAAGCGAAAATTTGGTGAATCTTAATGTTAGTGATTTTATAACTGAAAATTCACGGAATCTCACTTGAACTGATGTGGGCAAACTAAAAATCATAAAAAACTGAGGGAGAGAAATATGCCGTCTCGCTAGGGAAATGGACTAAATAATGGCAACTTCTAAGGTTAGTAGTAAAAAAAACACTTTTCTTTCCTGGAACGGTGGTAATGCACTAACCAAAACACGTTTGCTTGATGGAAACGAAGAAGCTGACTAAAATCATTCGGTGATGTTTCTAGGCGCTTTTTGAAACGTTTTACGGCTTTTAGATCATAAGGAACCCAGAATTACTGCCGACGTGTCGCTTTCTTGGACGCGACGTCTTCAGAATTTTTTTATCATAGATTAAAGCCGGATCCATCATTTTGTACGATGATACGAAAGTGTTTCTATTGGTTGGAGATCTGTCAATTCGTCCGTCGTCGTACGAACTGACCGATCTTCAACTAATAGAAACACTCGTATCATCGTACAAACGGATGCATGGGACATGGGCTTTTAAGGTTTTACTTTAAGAATTTGACGTAAAAGCATTTACTACGTTTTACTCATGAGACCGATAAATTCCTATATTAGAATATTAAATTTGAAATTGAGCATATGCATGCACTTCCACAAATATTTGTTCCATTTACCTTTCTATTGGTTAAACTAATTGTTGTCACTACATAGTTCGGATCGGTCTCTACGGCGATTGTTCGCACAATGAAATATCCATACGTGTTTTCGGCTCCTTCCTCTGTTTCCCAATATTGATGGCATTTCGGTCGGCCTCTTTCCATTACTCTAGTGGTCATTACTATCACTAACGTATGTTGTTCCCATATCATTCGCCAAAAGTCTGGAGTCGTTTTTGCTAAAGGTCCTGAAAGGAACCAAGGAAAAGTTGATATCAAGACACTTTTCAATTCAAAGTAACTACCCCCACTCCCAAAAAAGAAAGTTTGACGTCAAAGTATTCTAACTTTTGCACTAATTATCCGCTTTTAACTATTTTTTTCTTATAATACGTAAGGCAACGTTGGGTATTATTTTAAAGGCAAAACTATGAGTTCTTCACATTCCAAGACAAATAATCGGACAAACATCGAGATGCGTTTTTTTTAAATAATTTTATACAACTTTTTATTATTATTATACAATTATTTTATATTAAATTATTTTATAACAAATTTATTTTTACTGGCGCTCAACGGAAAAGTATTGTCTCTAAGTAGGCCTGGGTAACACTGTGTTGAGTTGCACTTTTGAGTTGTTGCCGCTCTCTGAGTTAATGCGTTTTAATTCATTGGTTAATTTCATTGGTTAACTAAGTTATAACTCATGGGCGATGAGGGAATTTTAACATCGAACAAAAAAACCATCAACATATTGCTTTTGCGCATACGATTGCTTGACACTATTTGGTCTAAAACGGGAAAATCCGGAAATTTTCAGAGCGATGAGGGTGACGCGTTTTCCAAATATTGATTACATGCTTTTGCTGTATCTGGTCATTTTCGAGAAAACATAAAAACGGGTATTCGAAAAAGACGATAAAGAAGACCAAACTGTAAAGACGACGACTTTTCTTGTAAAATCTATCTTTTAACTTTTTTGCATAAAATACTCTCAGTTTACCAGTATCTTAAAGTAAAACGTTAGAAAAAAACGCGTTGTTCTGTTTAGAGAGTTTTGTTTATAAATATTGACCTAAAAGTGAAGAAACCTAAATTTAAATAAACCAAATTATTCACACCGACAAAAGTGACGAGTTTTTCGAATAATGGATTATAAACTCCAACTTTTTTTGGGAACAAATCCATAAAAAATTATTAGGGTTTTGTCCAAAATTCGAAGCTGCAAAAGGTTCCAGAACAAAGTTTACAAAGCTGTTCAGGAGCCGAGTGTTTGGCTCCTGTTCTTTCCTAAAACTGGAATGACCTGAAATTTTAAAGAAACCTGAAAAATCTTTAGAGCGATGAGGGAGGCGAATTTTCCAAATAATATTTGGTAACTTTTTCTCTCTGGCCGGTTTTTCAAGATAATCTTGATTATTTTCGGTAAAAAACTGAATAAAATTATTTGCTTTTGTGCCAAATTCGAAGCTGAAAAGGGTTTTTTAAAGTTCCCTGCAAAACGATGAATGAGGCGAATTTTCTACCAAAATTCGTTTTGTCATTTTTGGCTGAAAAGACCCCATTATTGTCAGAATAGAGGAAAATCATCAGAAAATAATGTTTTTTGCGATTTTGAATGATGATGAAAAACGGGAGAAATTTATGTTCGTTTTTGTCCCGAATTCGACGTTGAAAAGTTTTTGTAAAATTCCTACAAAAATATAGATTTATCTTGTAATTTTTCGCGTAAAAGACCTCCACATCGTGACTATTTTTAAGTGAAACTACAAAATAGAACGTTTTTGAGTGGAAAGTAAAGCAAAAAAAATCAGTCAAAACTAAAAAAATTGTTCTAGAAAAGGGGTTTCTAAAGTTTCCTGCAAACCGATGAATGAGGCGAAGTTTCTAGCAAAATCAATTTTGTCATGTTTGTCTGCAAAGACCCCATTATTGTCAGAAAAGAGGACAATCATCAAAAAATTATACTTTTTGCGTTTTTGATTAAAAAATTTTAGTTCTGTGATCGGTTTTTGCGAAAACCTTAACAGTTTTCGTAAAATTCCTACGAAGCCATAATCCAGATCGTCAGTATTTTTAAATAAAACTCTACAAAATGGAGCGTTTTAAAAATCAGTCACAACTAAAAAATCACATTTTTTAAACAAACTCTACAGTCTTCAGACGAATGGAAGTGAAGAGTTTTCCAAATTATTTATTATAAACTTTCACTTACTCAATTCGTTTTTTGATAGAAAATTGTTAAATTTTTGTCGCCAACGTCGAACAAAAAGTTATTAATATTTTAAGCTAAAATTTACAACAGTTATAACGCGTACAAAAATCTCCAGAAAAACTTATAGTACGATTTTTTGGAAGCATTTTGTTTTTTCAATAGCATCAACGGTTCAAAAACTATGCACCAAAACGGTTTTAACTGACAATCCGTCCGAATACTTTCCCATAATATTTTCTCTTCATGTATTTATGTCCTGGAAAAAATCTAATCCGACTGGATTGAAAAGTACCCATTCTAGATGTTGCGCTATCAAGGAATCCGTACGCTTCTTCGGGACACCGTTTTCTCCACTTACCTTGAGTATTAATAAAAGCATTTTTCTGTTTGTATCCATCCACAAAATTCGCATGAATGTAATCACTATCGCTATCACAATCGATTTCAGATAAAATAACTCTACTATGATCGTAACACAGCACATCCGTGTAACGGTTCTTCGGCAAATTGTTTCGCAACTTGGCAACATTAAAAGTTCCATCAGGCGGTCTGGACCGGATTTCGGCGTATTCCTGTATAAGCCCAGGCCTGAAACGTGAAACTTCCTTGGTAAGCGGCCACTTTTTCGAACCGCTCGAACTTACCTTCCGCGATGCCTAACGAAATCTACGAGCTGTACCATTGTGATCGCCGCCCCATCTCCATGCAAGGAGTCGTCGTCGCTGAAACCGCTCGATGCACTCGAAGGAGGATTCAGGTTGGCTTCTTCAGAAGACCACGTTTCTACAGATGCGTCTTTGCCCCCCGTAATATCAACGTCGCCCAGATCCTTTACACACTTCTGTGGCGAAGGAGTTTGGTCATCTGAAAATATCAAGAGTGAGAAACCTAGCTGTGTTTCCTGCCATTATCCTGAACTTGTCCAGGAGAAGAATTTTTTAAATCACCTAAATTAATCGGCATTTAGTCAACTACACACATTCATAAGATAAATGAATGAAAAACCATCATGTTTATTCCTGTGAGGTTCGAAAACATACAACTTCGAGCCTCAGAAGACCGATTTCGAAATTCACTGATACAGCACCGATTTCTGTAAAACAGTTCATCTTTTCCCAAGTAACTGGAAAACGGTCACTTATTCCATATTATACAGAATGGCTTTCTTTGGCTCAAAAGAAGACGATCCACCTAACTTTTATTAAGAAAAAATGTCTGGCTCCTTGGCTATTGATGGTCAAAGTAGGCCTGGGTAACTCTATTAATTTTTAGGAGTTGGTGCAGTGTTGTGCGAAATTGGTGCGCCACCCCAACGCACCGGCGCAGTAACTCAGTTCCGTCGCTGAGAAAATGTTGATTACTTTTTTTACTTGTTTTTCGATTTATTTCAGGGGCCATTTATCAATAATATTTTTAACATTTCTTCAAAATTTCAGAATTTTCCAGTTTTAGCAAAGTTACTCTTTTTTCTAAATTCTCAATTTTCTAAAGATTCACTTAAAAATATTGACGATATTAAGTTATTTTTCGCGAAAAATTATGAAATAAATTTCGAATCCTTCATCGCTTTGTAAAAAGTTTTGAAATCTCTTTCCAGCTTCGAATTGGGGCAAAAATTAAATAATTTTCTATCAATAAACGAACTGAATAAGCGAAAGTTTATAATAACTTATTTGAAAAACTCGTCACTTCCATTCCTCTGAAGCCTGTAGTTTGTTAAAAAAATGTGTTTTTTTAGTTTTGACTGATTTTTTTGCTTTGCTTTCTGCTCGAAAACGCTCTATTTTGTGGAGTTCTACTTAAAAATACTGACGATCTGGAGGTCTTTTACGCGAAAAATTACAAGATATATTTATAGCTTTGTAGGGATTTTACTTTTTTCGGAGTCGAGTTTTTCCCCGAAAATTATTAAGGTTTTCGCAAAAACCGGTCATAGAACTAAAAGTTTTTAATTGAAAACGCAAAACATCTAATTTTCTGATGATTTTCTTTTCTGACAATAATGGGGTCTTTGCAGCCAAAAATGACAAAATTGATTTTTTAGAAATTATTATTCATCGGTTTGCAGGAAACTTTAGAAAACCCTTTTCAGCTTCTAATTTGGCACAAAAACCAAATAATTTTATTCAGTTTTTAATCGAAAGTAATTAAAATTATATTGAAAAAAAACGACCAAAGAGCAACAGTTTACAAAAAATAATTAGGAAAATTCGCCGCCCTCATGCCTCTGAAGATTTTTGGTTGGTCATTTCAGTTTTAGCAAAGTTTTTTTTAAGCAATTCTCTCTACGCAAAAAATACTGACAATCTTCAGGTATTTTCCGCAAAAAATAATTAAATAAATTTTATTAGAATACTCGCCTCCTTCGTCCCATCGTAAAAGGTTTCGAAATCTCTTTCCAGCCTCGAATCTGGGACAAGAATCAAATAAGTTTCTATCAAAAAACGAATTGAATAAGCAAAAGTTTATAAATAATAAATTATTTGGAAAACTCGTCATCTCTATTCCTCTGAAGACTGTAGAGATTGTTGAAAAATGTGGTTTTTTAGTTTTGACTGAGTTTTTTTGACAAATAAGCAAAAAAACACTATTTTCCGATGATTTTCATCTTTACTGACAATAATGGGGTCTGTTCAGCCAAAAATACTAAATTAATTTTGCTAGATAATTTATAAATTATTCGGAAAACTCGTCACTGTCGCTGTCGCTGTGAATAATTTGGTTTATTTAAATTACGGTGTTTTAACTTTTAGGTCAATATTTCGAAAGACAACTCTCTCTAAGCAGAACAACGCGTTTTTTCCCAACGGTTTACTGTAAAATATTGGCAAACTGAGTCTTTTATGCAAAAAAGTTAAAAGATGGATTTACAAGAAAAGTCGTCGTCTTTAGTTTGGTCTTCTTTATCGCCTTCTTCGAATACCCGTTTTACCCTTGAATTTGGGACAAAATCGAAACAAAGTTATATTGTTTTTTTCGACAACATTTAGGTTTTCTCAAAAAACGACCAGATAAATTAATATTTGGAAAACGCGTCATCCTCATAGCTCTGAAAAGTTTCTTCAAAATCTCCGAATTTCCCGTTTGGACCATGTTTCAAGCAATCGTATGCACGAAAGCAATTTGTTGATGGCTTTTTTTTGTTAGATGCTAAAATACCGTCATCGGCCATGAATTATAACTCATTAACCAATGAGTTAAAACTCATCAACTCAGAGAGCGGCAAAAACTCAAAAGCGCAACTCAACACAGTTACCCAGACCTAGGTCAAAGTTCTTTGAACAAATGACCTTTTTTGAACAATCGGGAAAACGGTTTTTAATGGAACTCTCACAGTAAATTTGTTCTAATGTACGACTCATGTTTTGATGAACTAACGGAGTTTATCCGTTTTGGGAAAGTGGTGGATTCTTGAGTGTCTTGGTACAAAAACTACCAGAACTTTTTGTTCGGTGGCTGGAATCAACTCATTTTTTTAAGTGGATGCACATTCCTTTCCTGACATTCTTCTGCTCCTTGTAAAATCTTGTAGCTTTTATAGATTTTGCGCAAAGAAACTGTCTGTTTTCTTGTCGGAATCGGAAAATGCCCAAAAATTCTCCCTTTGATAAGAAATTTCCTTCAAAAACTCACATTTCCGGCGACATCGCGCCAATGTGGAATCTTGTGTAAAAAGTCGCAATCACTTACTATTGAGTGATGAAGGAGAATGTCCTCTTGTAGCACTCATGGAGGCAAGGCAATGCTCCAGCCAATCGTCATGATCCAGGACGAGTGAGCCGCCCAGCTGAGTGGGCAGCGACTCGCGAGGTATATGAGCCTGTAGCTGAGCGGTGGAAACTGTATAAACTCGTTCGCGCAGCTTCTCCCTTACAAACAGACGCAGAATTTTAAACGGTGCCTTGAACCACAACGGCGCAGTCACTATGAGCACTTTCTTCAGTTTGGCTGGATACCCTCCCTGCAAATACAACAAAAAACATGTAATTCATTATTGGAATCTCTACTGCTCTGGCACAGAGATACAGGAATCAAGAGTAATTTGGTTCTAGTCAACAATCGTTTTTCTGCGTGTCTCGCACAATTAAGGAAATGAATGTTCTTTTTCGCTATTTCACATGTTTTTAGGTAGGGAAATTCTCGCTTATTTTGAAAACTTACTAGTTTCAGACAAACTTAAAAATTAAAAACAAAATTAGGAGGCAATAAGAGTAAACAAGTGGGTAGTTTTAGATAGCTCAACCGGTAGTATTAAAATTTGAAATTCTACTGAAAACCAAAGACCAACCGTTATTGAGATATTTTAAAGTTTAAGTGGAAAATTAAATTCGCATCTATTATTTATTTCGGTGTCGAGTTCTTGTTGAGAAACACTGACTTTATTATACTTTTTATACCAGTTTGAGTTCAACAGTTTAAACAGTGTTCAAAATTAGTTTAGGATCGTGAAAAAACTAGAGAAATCCGCAAAAAAGAGGCCTGTTGAGTTAGCATTTTTCTAAAAGGTCACAAATTAAATAATAAATAGTTTCTGACGAAAAAAAAACTATTAATACGCTGCTAATGATGCCATACGAGTGAAAGTGGATCTGCCATTTATGAAGAGTTTCAACAACATATCAAGTCGTAAAAGTCCAAATTTTTATAAAAATGTGGCACGAGAGTCATGGGTGAGCGTGTGCCAAAATCCAGTTAAGTTTTGCGTCGCTTTAACGCTGAAGACACAGAAAGGCAGGCAGAAATCGTGGCACGGCTTGAATCTGGATGTTTCATTTAAGGAGACTTCTCCCAAAATATCACGCCTCAAAAATGAAAGTTTTCAGGAAAATCGAGCAAAAGACTTCTTATATATTTTTATATAACAACTTATAATGATGTTAGCAAAAAAGTGAACACTGTGTTGAGTTGCGCTTGTGAGTTGTTGCCGCCTCTGAGTTAATGAGGTTTAACTCATTTGTTAATAGTATAAGTCAAGGCCGATCACGGAATTTTAACATCTACTAAAAAAGCCATCAACATATTGCTTTTGCGCACACGATTGGTTGAAACTATTTGGTCTAAAACGGGAAAATCCGGAATATTTGAAAAACTTGTGAAAAAGGGTGACGAGTTTTCCAAATATTGATTAAATGCTTTTGCTTTCTCTTGTCGTTTTTTGAGAAAACCTAAATTTTGTCGAAAAAAACCAAGGTAACTTTGTTTCGATTTTGACCCAAATTCGAAAATTACGATAAAGCGACTTTTCCTGTAAAATCCATCTTTAAACTTTTTTGCATAAAATACTCTCAGTTTGCCAGTATTTTAAAGTAAAATGTTAAGAAAAAACGCGTTGTTCTGTTTAGAGGGAGTTTTGTTTAAAAATATTGACTTAAAAGTGAACAAACCGAAATTTGAATAAACCAAATTATTCAGAGCGACAAAAGTGACGAGTTTTCCGAATATGTAACTGATTAGAAACTCACTTGTTCTGTTCGAGGACATATTTTTGGGAAAAAATCCACACACAAATTATTAGGGTTTTGACCAAAATTCGAAACTGGAAAAGGTTCCAGAAAAAAGTACAAAGCTGTTCAGGAGCCGTGTGTTTGGCTACTGTTGAAAATTTATTTTATAATGGTCACAGAAAATACCTGAAGATTTTCAGTATCTTAAGTAAAATTAAAAATAATACGTTTCTTGCGTAGAAAAAATTGCTTAAAAGAAACTTTGCTTAAAAGAAACTTTGCTAAAAGTGGAATGACCTGAAATTTTAAAGAAACTTGAAAAATCTTCAACGCGATGAGGGTGGGGAATTTTTCAAATAATTTTTTGAAAACTTTTGCTCTGGCGGTTTTTTCAAGATAATCTTAATTACTTTCGGTAAAAAACTGAATAACATTATTTGGTTTTTGTGTCAAATTCGAAGCTGCAAAGGGTTTTCTAAAGTTCCCTGCAAACCGATGAATGAGGCGAATTTTCTAGCAAAATTAATTTTGTAATTTTTGGCTGAAAAGACCCCATTATTGTCAGAAAAGAGGAAAATCATGAGAAAATAATATTTTTTTGCGTTTTTCATTAATAACTTTTAGTTTTGTGATCGGGTTTTGAGAAAATCTTAATGATTTTCGGGAAAAATTGGAGAAATTTATTTTCGTTTTTGTCTCGAATTCGACGTTGAAAAAAGTTTTTGTAAAATTCCGACAAAACTTTAGATATTTATCTTGTAATTTTTTGAGTAAAAGACCTCCAGATCGTCAGTATTTTTAAGTAAAACTCTACAAAATAGAGCGGTTTTGAGCAAAGCAAAAAAAATCAGTTAAAACTAAAAAAAACCCTTTTTTTAGCAAACTCTACAGTATTAAGAGGAATGAAAGTGACCAGTTTTCCAAATTATTTATTATAAAAATTCATTTCATAATTTTTCGCGAAAAATACCTCAAGATTGTCACTATTTCTAAGTGAATCTTTTGTGAGCACTTAGAAAAAAGAGTAACTTGGCTAAAACTGGAAAATTCTGAAATTTTGAAGAAACGTTAAAAATATTATTGATAAATGGCCCTTAAAATAAATCTAAAAACAAGTGAAAAAAGTCATCAACATATTCCTAGCAACGGAACTGAGTTACTGCGCCGGTGCGTTGATTTGGCGCACCAAGCCATTTGCGTTGCACTGCGCCAACTCCTAAAAAATTATTACCTACAAAGAAGTACATATTCATAAATTATGGCATGTCTTGAATGTGAGTCTGCCATTTGTGGCTTTCAACCCAAAATTTCATGAAAAGACGATTCGATAGTAGCATTTAATTTAGAATAAAAAGTCTAATGCGCCCGATCGGCTGTTTTGTTTACGCCGACCTTCCAACCGGGTTGAAACCTGAAAATTGTCTTTGACAATATTGCCGTGCGAACACGCACTTTCTTCAAAATTGCCAATAAACAAACTGAAATCGCACTGCAATGAGTCACCTAAAGGGCTATCGCGCAAACGATTATATGTTGGTTTTGTAAATTTTCGATATAGCATGAATTTTTTCATAAATATGGCTGGATATTCAGTTGATTACAGGCAATGGACGAAATCGGTCGTATTTTATCGCATTGGTGCGGGTCATATTTATTCAACGAAGAACGACGAGAATGTGGTTGAATTCTCGATTGAGTTTATCAATTTTTTTAAATTTCCTTTTGAAGTAAATATTATTCGATTAGTGTTTTTGCTGCTGTAAATTTCGCTTTTGTAGTCTAGAAAAGAAAAAACCCTGAATCCTGAAGTGCCCGAATCGAAATAACACGTAGAAATATTTAAGTAAAAATACAGTGTGTCTCACATACAAATTGAAACCTTTGAAAATGGGCGGAAAATGTTTGAACTTCCTTCATTTCAAATCCTAATTTTTTATGAATATTTCTTAAAAAAGTCAATTTACACATGCAGAGTAAATATCAAATTAGGAAGGAAACCGTTGGACGTTTTTTGTATAAATAACGTAAACACATAACAAAGATAATTTTAGGTTTACGGCAAAATAAAGATAATTTATTGAGTCAGGCAATCACATAAATCAAGGGAAAATGGTTGACTAGAAACTTCCCACGTACCAAAGGCAATATTTACGGAAAAATTAAAGTAAATGTTGCATTAATTTTTAGTCAATGTTTAAATGATTCGAACGAGTGGCATCTGAATGTTTGCTACATGAAATCGGGAGATTGGCAAAAATTATGCAGTTTAAAAAATGGAAAAATCAGATTCATTGATTAACCGAAATAATTAAAATATTCAAAGTAATTACATCGCTTTCAACACGAAATTTGCTACTTCCAGTGTACACATTGATTCCATTCACACTCGAACACTGATCGATTTGCATTTTTCTGAATTGGAATTCCGAAAATAGTCCAATAACCCTGCGCCAGCTGATGCCATTTGCACATATTGGAGCAACTCCATACATTTTCAAAGAAGATTTTTTATTTTTATGGTAAATAATCACAAAAGACATTTTAACAAAATCTTAAATTTGTTGTTTTTAAGTTTAATTAACGAGTTTTTTAACTGCTTCTTCACACGGAAGCAACTGTAAGTAGGTGCACTAAAAACATGTTCAAAACCGCCAGTCGCATAAAGCTCAAGGTTCGGAAAAGTACAAAAATTTTAAATTGTAATTTAACATACGATTACTGCCGGGGCATTTATAATTAATTTCGCATGATTGCCGGTTTTTATATAATATTGCAAGTAGATGATGCGGAATAATAAAAGGAAATGACGTTTTCGTTATGGATGAGGTGCAAGCTTTTGCGTTGATTGAAACAAGTTTAACAAGCTGTTTTTTGGCAAAGAAATAAAAACAGTATGTGCAAGTGTACTGCAAATGCAATTGCAAACTCAAGTTTTTAATTAACGTCCTGAAAGGACTGACACTCTTTTAAAGCCTTATTTCCGATAACGAATTCAAAACCACTTTGAGACTCCGGCCGAACGGGGCCTATTTTAGCCCGCTTTAGTGAATTCGAATAGAAATGGAGAGCGCAGGCCAAGAACACACATTTTTCACAGAACACACAAACATTTCCCCATTCATTACGTAAGCCGCTGCATACCGCATTTCCCTCACAAACAACTCACCTAACCGATCAAGCCGACAAGAACTGCGATATGTTCCAGTAGATCAATTTTAAACACCTCACTAAACGCTATAATACTAACACGATTAAAAAAATAATTTATCTGAAAATACGCAACAGTTTTGCGAGTTGCGGATAAACTAAATCGATGCTCCCCGACGCTAGGCGTCTCGACGTTTAAACAGGAGCGTGCGCGCTGGGAAAAGCACCGACGACGTCCGTTCGAAAAAAATACGCCAAAATCTAGGGTGGATTCATAAATCAAAGGATAAAACGATGGGGGAGAAAAGCGCGTGAATCGGAGGCATTTCTGTATAAGCAGGGACGTTTAAAAGGAGACAAAGCATACACATCAAAAGAGATAGACTTTCGAGGTCATTCCTTGAAACTAGTGGGTTTTTCGGGTTTTTAGGCCATCGTACAATAGAATTTCTTCCTGACGTTTCGCAAGCACGAGTGGCTTGCATCTTCAGAGGTGGACAAAAATAAGACTTAAAACCCGAAAAACCCACTAGTTTTAAAGCATACATAGTTTATGTTCTTCATTGGCTCGCATACGGGTAATGATCTCAAATTTTTAATTAAAAAAAATGGTAGGTACACCTCTGCCTTCTTGTTCAATTTACGACAACAAATCCCTCTAGCCCTTTTTTCGCATGGGGCGCCGTTATGACGCAAAAAAATAAAATCCTAGACGCGCATTTTTCATTTCTGTAAAACATTATCAAAAACTTTCAAATCACTGATGAAATTTTTAATAGGCGCAAAACTACAACAAACGTTGAAAAAGACATCCCTCAGACCGGACATAAAATGCAACTCTTCGCTTCATTTATTGTCGTATTTGCACAAATATTCCTGGTGTATTTCTCATTGTCGCACGGCTGTGATTCGATTCCTCAGGCCAAAAATTTTCACCGGGAGTGATACACTAATGACTTAAGAAAACACCAAATACAAAACTCTAGGGGACTTAAATCCGGCTATCGAGCAGGCCAATGTTTCGTGCGCTCCCTACTTTTTTATCACTGATTATTGTTAAGTTCCTGCAAGTTCTGGTACTTCTTTCTCGGTACAGGAATTTTATCGAAAATTCCCTGGCATTTCTTTAAAAAGTTGTGTGAACATTTAAACTTAGCAAAATCAGCTCTTGGTAGGTAATAAAATCCAGCTTCTAGTGCTGGAGGATAAACCCATATTTCTGTCTCCGTATATCATTCGTGAACTAAATGGTTAAGCCATCGAAATGGGACATTTTTGTTTAGTTCTCCACAGAAATTTCAAAAAATCTATAGATTGCGAATGCTTCTGGAATGATGATGGGTAACAATCAGCCAAAAATGGGTAGACCTGATTGGCTTCCTTTTTCCTCAATTTCCAACTCCAACATCCTCCTGTTGATGAATTGTGTTTTCTACTGTAAGGTTGTGTATTTCACGAATTTATTTCGGCCTTATTTGCATTTCAAGCAAAATCGAGCAAGCTTTCAAGCAAAATCGAGTTTGGTGGTAAATTCCGGTTTTTTTCGTAAGTTCTTCATTTATAAAAAGCTTAAGTATCTGCTGAAATTAAGTGTTGATTCCCAGAATTAATATCGAAAATTAATTAGGTTCACTCAATTTGGCCAAAACACCGGCTTTGGTCTCTTCCCTGGTGTGTTTGCAAAACTCTACAAGAGTGTCCAAACAAATGTATTCATAATAAACATGCAGATGTTCGTTGATGCAATGATACTTAGACATTAAATCAGTGCTTGGTAAAATAAAACTGCAATAATTAGGTCATTTTCTGGTAAATTGTTCGATAAAATGCTTTCAATCAACAATCGTCCACATGGATTCGATATCAGTGTGAATCAAAAAGCTTACAAGTTTCGACCCCTTTAACCATATAAACATTAACAGACCTTGTTGGAATTGGGATTTTAAGGTTGCCGATACGCGCTATGGTTCGTTGAATCACGATCTTCATTGTTATTGAAATGCCTTCACCAGAAAGGAAGCAAAGAGGAAGTAAAGTGCGTGTCATAGATGGGTATTACTAATTAACTTTTTCAGTTTGACTGCAGCCGGGCAAGTCCGATTAACGTTGAATTGCTTTTGGTTTCATTATCTAATTACATTTACCCGTGGATTTCCACTTTTTTAATCACAATTTTGCAAGATTCTGACATTTTTGTAATTGCAATGGAGGCAAACGTGTTAATTAAACACTGGAGACCCAAAACTGCCATGTAAAGGCGTGTATAAATTCTGTAGTATCGTTTAATGTACGCAGTTTTGATATTTAGCTATGGAAAAATTGAAAGTTTCATAAATTATTGTTTTGACTTTTACATATGTTAATTGAAAAACAATAATTATCTCCTCCTAAATTTGCCTCAGTTAATAATCACAAAAGCAAAATACCAAATCGTATCTAGATTATTAACTCATTACTACGGTTTCCAATTTCATCATGAAATTTCGAAGATGTTTTCCAAAAATTCAAATGCGAACTATGAAGCTTTATAAACAAATCCACTTGCATTTCTGTATCTGAAAGCATATTGAAATGCGCGTTTCGGTATCAAATTCCTCCTAAAAGTTACCATTTAAACATGTTAGGTAATTATGATTTTCTTCAATTATTCATAGCGTGCAGTTAACTAAGCGTCCTATAAACAGAATCATCGCTATAAAAGATGTACCTCCTATGAACAAACTTCTGAATTTAAGACCGGATTTAAGGATTTTTCAAGGTAACTTCAAAAATTATTGTAGGCGTTATTAATATGAATGGTTGTTGGTAACGTGCAAAATCGAAACCTACGAATTTTAATCAGAATCTTCAAGTAACACGTTTGAAATTAGCCAACAAATCGGCGCAAAAATACACAAGTTCAATTCACAATTATCGAAAAATCACTTACTTCTTGGAAATATGGAGCAATGATTTTTTAATCCAATGGTTCAGCCACAAGATTACACCTTATTAACAGAAACCGCGTCTTAACGAAATCGAATTTTTTATAAGCGACGCACTGCAGTCAATGGTACGTCGCAAAAATCGGCTTTTGACTGACTGACTCACTAATAAAAGTAATAAATTCAAGCAATTTGGAGGACGGTTCCGTAATGAAATCTAGTTGAGCATACCAGCAGACCACGCAAGTCCGTTCTTATTGTTTATTGCTGATGTGTGGTACTTTACTTATAAAGGAGACCCATAATTAATGCATGGTTCAAGCCACGAGTATTACTCATGCCGCGATCCATCTATTAACCATTTTTATTTGCCGCGTAATGTAATTCGTTTAATTGTGGAAAGTTAATAAATGTAAAGATTTCCATCACATGAAGCACAGCAACATGTTTCCCAGCCGATTTACCAGATTATTAAATCTCACAAAAGTTTTAGGCGAAAGAAAACATTCGTCACAATCTCAAATTGATAATTGAACATAATATTTCCATTGTCCCACAATCGCTTGAATCACTTTTTCTTCTTCAGTATCAATTTTATATGCAAACGAAAGTGAAAGTATCACCTAGCGCGATTGCTTTGCAAAACAGTAATTATTTAACTACATTCTATTTAAATCACTAGACGAATTTAGCTAGTAATGGACTCACGTATAATTAGCGTTTAAATCGTTTTGGAAGGACATAATTTTCGCTACTATTCTATTCAAACAGAGACTTTCTTTGTACACTACGATCATTAGTTCCAAGCAAACAATATGCCGGCTCAAAATATACTTTTATCAGCTATTGCGCATCGAATAATCGAAAAAAAGATCGAGGAAAACGTAGACGGTAATTCCAGTTCTTCATTTTTAAAGGACTACAACAAAACGTGCTAAAAGTACCACTTGAACAATAGTTGGCACCATCCTTGCTAGTGAAATAAATGCACTTACCTTAAGCATGGTCAGTATTTTCTGAGACAATTCGTAATCAAAATTTGAATATTTTGAGTTAGACATGTCATATATAAACACAATCCCAGACTTCTGAGTCAGAGGGTTTTGTAAGGCCACATCGAGTTGATAAACGACACCCTGTAGAGTAGTCTGGTGAGTGCTGATTGCAGGAACATGTTTATGGGCAGTGAACACAGCAATAGCAGCGTTATTTATATCTCTTTTTGGCTGAAAAAAGCGCGTTTTTTATTAAGGTGGTCGAGTACTTTGTATTTCTGGACACTCACCAAAATAGTAAATTTTCCGGTCAATAATTCACTATGAAGAGGCTCCACGGTGGGGTCAAATTTATTTAGGCCTTCTCGGTGTCTGGTTGCTTCATGCTGCTCAAATAAGACGACCGCACGATTAACATCAAACTTTCGGGCATAGAGAAATCGCACCGCAGTTGACCAGGGAACCGGTGTGGTACCGAACTTTCTTCTGAATTTTGAGTTGACCCTTTCGATAAAGTCCTTTGTTGCCTGCAAAAAGAACACCAGTTATAAATCGGTGATTATCAACGACTGTCTAGACTCAATATGAATGAAATGATGATTCTCTCTAGTGGGCACTGGATTCAATATTTAGTACCTTCAGTGGTAAATTATTTTGATTACTTTCTCATATTACTCGGCTTTTTAAGATAATTTTTTTTCAATACTTTTTTGGTGATGCTTTAGCAAATCAGTCCCTGGCATGCACGGTGTTGATATGCTCACATTATAGATGATTGTGTATATTTTCCTGACTGTATTTCAACTTAATTCAAAAGAAATTCCTGGGTTCCAGTCAATTTTATTGTTTATTATTTAATGTTACAAATACGTTTCGGTGTTTTTCTCCACCATCAGTTTGTCACACAGTCAATAAAATTGACTGATACCCAGGAATTTTATTTGAATTAAATTATAGATAATAATGAGTGAAAAGTGATCGAAGGGCTCACTTTCGCAAAGAACACCACTGAGAAAAGTTGTTAGTAAACCGAGTTGTTTCTAAAAGGTGGGCAATTTCTTAAACGCGAAGGCCTGATAATCAATTTTTCAAACAACGTACTAATAAAACAGAAGTGATTAGCCCTTTTCAAACCCAGCATTCAAATACAAAATTATATATTTAATTTATTTGGCTAAACCCCTCCCAGGTATTGCGATTACTAACCAAAGATCTATCAATTAAATGTTATTTATTGCTCTCTGTTTTCCTTTTGCATTCGCTTAATCTTCCGTTTTTGATAAGCGATGTTAAAGGAAAGTGTAGCATGGTGTAAGCTGATTATTTTGTTTTGTTCATAGCATAATTAAAACACAAATAAACAAGTCACATCTATCCAGTATGTGGCACTAATTACGTTAATATATTTTTGTGTTCATCACCAGACTGCTGTGTCTATCAATATCGTCCTATTACTATTAATAGCAGGATCAAGTAGCAACTACATTTAATACTCCAAGAATTAATTGAATGATTTATTGAGAAAAAGAATTAATAACGAATTTCCTGTGATTATAATTGTACGTGGTACCTACTGATGACAAAGCTTTTCATACGGATAAATGATTAGATGAATGGTGCTCAGTGCTTCCAATATCAAAAGTGCTTGAATATTGGGGACTTTTTAACGTTTTCTATATAAACTCTAGGGCGATTTTATTAGTAAACACATAAAAAAGTGACCAGGTGATACGGCAGCAAAACATAAACAAAGCAAAAACTTCCACATTGCGTTCATTTCAATTTGTCGTATTATAGTTAAATAATACCGCAAGCACAGACGCCACCCACTTTGAATAGGCTTTGATTCCTATCTTTGCAAAACTTACATTTTCCTGTTCTTGAGTTAAAGGCGAATCCATCACGACCAAACCACTCCACCAACCAAACAAAACATGGAAAACGACAACTGACAATTGACACGTAAAAGCTCAAGCGCAGTTAAAGGCAACAATGCCAAATTTACTATGGGAGTTTTTACTAGCAATGAACTCTATACAAGTACCTGGAACGGACCCTATGCACTATAAAAGTGAGGCAAAAGCAAAATATAGGCAACCCTCTGTCCTGACGCTTGTATGTCTCTTTCTATCTCATTGACTTATACGGAGATTTGTTGCAATATTTAGCAGTTTTGGTTTCCTTTTAAACAGTTACAGTATGATAGTTAAGTTATTGCTGAAAATATAACAAAATTGAACTCTCTTGAATATTTCAGGTATAAAAAATCATAAGTGGAAGTGGAATAATGTACGAGCAAAAAAGTAAAAGCAAAATTAATACAAGTAAAATAGGTATAAAATACTTTATTTATATAGTAAACACATAAACTTATTACTTTTTTGCCTTACTGTTGCAGCATTTCCATGCAACTTCATATTAAGAAGTGAAGAGTGGTGGTGCATTCGACATTTTATAAAAATATCCAGAATTTTTCGGATGAGCTGAATCTCGTGGCACTCTTGACCTATAAATTCTTGAGATTGAGGGCTAGAGAAAGTAAAAAGCCATATTAACAATTCTCTTCTTTACATTTATTGGACTCTTTAGAATTTCGTCCTTTTGTAACATATAGCGGAATTGTCTTTCTGCGAAATGTAGAATTTTAGGAGATGGATAAAGAAGACCTCCACGAGATACAAATATAAATTTTTTTTAAAGGTCTCGGCGGCTGCGCTGCACATATGGTCATGACAAATACCATTATCTCTTATTAATAAAATTTCTATACAGTTATGACATGTACCACAGACATGTACTTTCATCAATAAGGCGACGCACTATATACCCTGTTCTGTATATTCTGTTTGTTTGTGACGGCTTCCAATTATCCCTACGAAGTGCCTACAGGAAGTGCATGCACCCATAATTTTAGTATTTCAGGACGTTTAAATGGAAAACTACAACAATAAAAGGAACATGAAATAAAATGTGATAATGATTTACTTTACGACTTTCAAGCTTATGTATGAAACGGGATTTTCCTTAATTGCGCTCATTTTTATATCCATAAGCAACACAAAAGATCACCATTATGGAAACAAATAAAACAGACTAACGCAATTTTGTCCTTTCACACACTTATTTTTAAAATAGCAGGAAACCATAATAACACTTTGACACGCGAACATATACTGTTGTTGAAATCTATCTTGTTTGAATTTACAATACACGCAAACCATATAAAATATTACAAAATAATAGCTGATGCAGTTTTACCAGGTAAAACAAAACGGGTCTGACAGAGACAAGATACCGTCCCATTTGGCTATCTCTCTCTGTTGCCCCTGACACAAGATCTCCGGTATAAGCCTTGTTCTATGTCTCGTCTTTATCTATGTTCTATGTCTCCGGTATTCAACAACGGCCGGGGCCGTTCCGGGTACTTTAGTATACAGTTCATTGCACGTAAATGCGTGCAGTAAACGCCATTTTTCTGAAGGGGTTATTTAAAAGTTATAAGAAAATATTATAGAGCTTCAATTAGGCCTGGGTAACTCAATAAATTTTTAGGAGTGCAACGCAAAATGACAAAAAAAATGACTTGGTACGCCAACCCAACGCACCGGCGCAGTAAAAAACTCAGTTTCGTTGCCGGGAAAATGTTGATGACTCTTTTTGCTGTTTTTAGATTTATTTTAAATGCCATTTATTAATAATATTTCTAAAATGTCTTCAAAATTTTCCAGTTTCAGCAAAGTTACTTTTTTTCTAAATGCTAAATTTTCAAAAGATTTACTTAAAAATACTGAAAGTCTTGGGGTATTTTCGGCGAAAAATTATGAAATAAATTTCATTACAACTCTCGAACACTCGCCTCATTCGTCGCTTTGTAAACTTTAGCAGGGAACGGTTGCAGGAAACTTTAGAAAACCCTTTTCAGCTTCGAATTTGGCACAAAAACCAAATAATTTTATTCAGTTTTTCAACGAAAGTAGTTAAGATTATCTTGAAAAAACGACCAGAGATCAAAAGTTTACAAAAAATTATTGGGAAAATTCGCCGCCCTCATCGTTCTGAAGATTTTTAAATTTTCTTTAAAATTTCAGGTCATTCTAGTTTTAGCAAAGTTTTTTAAAGCAGTTCTGCCTACGCAAAAAAACGCATTATTTTCTGGTTTTCCTTAAAAATACTGACAATCTTCAGGTAATTTATGTGAAAATTGTAAAATAAATTTTCAACAGGAGCCATTTTAGGAGTCAAACACTCGGCTTCTGAACAGCTTTGTAAACGTCTTTCTGGAACTTTTTGCAGCTTCGAGTTTTTCGACTTTTTTCCAAAAAACATTTCCTCGAACAGAACAAGTGAAAGTTTATAATCAATTATTTGGAAAATTCGTCACTTTTGTCGCTGTGAATAATTTGGATTATTCAAATTCCGGTTTGTTCACTTTTATTAGATACAATATTTCCAAACAAGACTCTCTCTAAACAGAAGAACGCGTTTTTCCTAACGTTTTACTGTAAAATACTGTCTTTACAGTTTGGTTTTCTTTATCGTCTTTTTCCAATAACCGTTTTACCTTCGAATTTGGTACAAAATCAAAACAAAGTTAGCTTGTTTTTTTTCGACAAAATTTAAGTTTTCTCAAAAACAACTAAAGAAAACAAAAGCATTTATTCAATGTTTGGAAAACTCGTTACCCTCATCGCTCTGAAAATGTATTTTTATTGTCAATGAAAACCACATAGTTTCAAACAATCGTATTCGCAAAAGCAATATGTTGATGGCTTTTTTGTTAGATATTAAAATTCCGCCATCGGCCATGAGTTATAAGTCATTTAACCAATGAGTTAAAACTCATTTACTTTAGAGAGCGGCAACAACTCAGAAGCGCAACTCAACACAGTGTTACCCAGACCTACATCATTATAAGTTATTATTTAAGAATACGTAGCTTGATTTTGATAAGATTTTTCCGATTACTGTTTTTCTCGATTTTTCCGAAAACTTTCATTTTTGAGGCGTAATATTTTGGGAGAAGTCTCCTTAAATGAAACATCCAGATTCAAGCCGTGTCACGATTTCTGCCTGCTTTTCTGTGTCTTCAGCGTTAAAGCGACGGAAAAATTTTATAAAAATTTGGACTTTTACAGCTTGATATGTTGTTGAAATTCTGCCTAAATGGCAGATTAGCTTTCACTCGCATTGCATCATTTACAGCGCATTAATAGTTTTTTTCGTCAGAAACTATTTATTATTTAATTTGCGGACTTTTAGAAAAATGCTAACTCAACAGGCATTTTTTGGCGGTTTTCTCTAGTTTTTTTCTCAATCCTAAACTAATTTGTAACACTGTGTTAAAATTGTTGAACTCAAACTGGTATAAAATGTATCATAAAGTAAGTGTTTCCCAACAAGAACTCGGTGCCGAAATAAATAATAGATGCAAATTTAATTTTTGACTTTAAAATATGTCAAAAACGGTTGGACTTGAGCCTTGGACAATGAGTTAAAACTCATTAACTCAAAAGCGCAACTCAGCACCGTGTTACCCAGGCCTAGCTTCAATTAGAATACAGTAACGTGAAAGCATTGTAATGCAGATTATAATTATTGCCACATTTCGTTTTTTTATTTGATTGTAAAGTTATTTTAAGATTTTAATTCAATTTTTTTTTGTTTCATAAATTGGAATTAAAGCCCCGTTTCGTCACAATGTAAACACGTGGATAATTACCGGGACTTGTAAGTTTAGGCAAGAAACTGATGATTTTCTCATACAAAATCGAGTAAAATTAATGTAATTTAATTTATACAAAGTGAGATATCTGGCTGTCGCAAAAATCCGTTAGCATTGGATTCTCATTGTTACATTTTAAAACTACTGAAAAGTTTAGTCAAGATCGCCGGGAATCCTGAGTTTTACTAGCCCAGAAAATATCGGTCTTACAATGGCTGGTTTTGCAGCTTAAAACAATCACCAGCATTGAAAGTGACTACTCTAAAGATGTTGAAAGATTCATAAAAATCGCCCAAAATCCTGAGCTTTGCCAGCTTAGTAAATGTTGGTCTCAAAATTGATGTTTCCGGTCAACCACCTTACCTCGCTTAAAAATTCCGAATTTCCAATCCAAAATAAGTAGCCGCATGAAAGTTTCACCAGCTTTAGAAGACAGTTCAGGCCAAAGATGCGGAAAGTTTCATAAAAATCGCTCCGAATCCTGATCTTTGCTAGCTTAGTAAATATTGCTAAAAAATTGAACGCCCGTCACAGTTTTACAAAGTTTATTAACTAACTGGTTTAACACGGTCTTAAAAACAAATAAGCAATGAAACATTTCACGAGTTAATCTAATCTATGCTGTTTTTTCCTTCTTATAATATAAGAATCGTGTTTGATTTGCGCATTAACATTTGACTTATAAAGCTGGAATAGGCTTGATCTGAATTCGCTTTTATACACTGAATCGGTTTTCCAGCACTATTGAATAAGGTTGATCAAGCTTAAGTCGAGTTATTCCATGTTTTCCACTGGATATAGTGAAACATTCGTTAAAGCTATATAAATAACATACACATATACACTTGTGGACGCAACAAAGCCTTTGGGCGGATTAAATGAACAACCATATGGAGTGAGCATTATTTGGTTTCCTACCTAGTAATATCACTTACTGAGCTAAAATAATAACAGTTATTAAGTTAATATGTACAAATCACCTACGCTAGTTTATTACTGTTGAAGAGTATTTTATGTGTTTAAAAATCGTATTATTGGCATTTTGTTCCCGCATCTTCCAAAATATAAATTAATATATTAACTAATGCCCCAAATTGCCGCACGTTTAATCATAACTTTTCACCACTCAGGCTCATCATGTTGTAATAAGAATGGTCTGGAAAGCGTTCCAATTCGATATAGTCAGTCTCTGTCATTATGAGATTCTCTAGCAGATTGCCACATTCGGAGAACGATGGTCTCATGTTTGCATCATTGTCCCAACAGTAGTACATTATGTTGTAGATTTCTCTTCGACAGTGCTCAGGTTTGTCCAGTCGGTAACCATCTCTTACCTGCGCAATAAAAAATGTTTCTCAAGGTTTTGGTTGTTAAAACTGTTCGAGTTTACGGAAAATATTCACTTTGGTAGGGAGCTTAAGAGGCGTACTTTTAAAAGATTTTAAAAAAATTAGTCGAATGTTCCACCCTCTGCCTTTGAAGGCGGCAACTGAAACGTTTTCTCGCTACTCACCTTCCTCATAACGTCTGCAGCGGACAATCCCGGATAAGGGGTGCTGCCAAGAGTAACCACTTCCCACATTAATATACCGAAACTCCACACGTCCGATTTAACGGAAAAAATATTATCGTAGAGAGATTCAGGGGCCATCCATCTGATTGGAAGTCGTCCTGAAATAAACGGGTGAGCCTCGAAAGAGCACAAAAGCATCATTGTTGTACCTTCACTTTTCCTTTCGTAAACATGCGAACTTATAACATCGCGAGCGAAACCAAAGTCGGCGACCTTGCAAATGTGGTCATCGGTAATGAGGATATTTCGCGCGGCCAGATCCCTGTGGATTATCTGAAATTTTCTCAAATTACCGCCCAAATTCTACATTCCTCTAACACTTGCTCACCCCGTTGGCAGATAGGAACTCCATTCCTTTGGCCACTTGGTGGCAGAATGAGGTCAAGTCGCGGGAGGTCAGAGTTTTGCTTTTCCCATGCATATTGTTGTAATATCGCTCGGCTCGGGAATCGCGCAAGTACCCCTGCAGTTTCCCTTGCGTGATGTACTCCATGATGAGGAAAATTGGCTCTTTTTCCGTGCAACAGCCGAGCAGTTTCACCACGTTCGGGTGCGGATCGAGCATCTTCATTACGTGCAATTCTGATATCAAATCGCTCTTCTCCTTTTCGTTTGCGTTCTCCTTTAGCGTCTTCACTGCGACAATGCTAGGGCCTGCCTCCTTACCTAAGGACAGAAAATCGGGTTAAAAAATAGGTGAGAGGAAAAACCTGAACGTTTTTTTATCGCATGAACCATAAGGCAAACGGACATCGAAAACCCAGCTTTGCGATAAACTACCTTCTAAATCCATAGCTTCGCACTTCCAGACTTGTCCAAATGCACCCTCGCCCAGAATACTGAAGAACTTGAGTCGATGGCGTGGAAATTCCCAGCGGTCGCCCTTTTCATCTGTTGGTGTTTCCGTTTCATTGCCGGTCTGAAACCACAAAACTGTATCAGTATGGTACTTTCTTTTGGTCATTGAGAATTACTTCTGGTTGGGCTCCTTCGCGCTGCCACGGCTCATAGCGATTGCTAAAAGCCCTCGGACCTCGCCATTCGTGCATGTTGATACTGCCTTCTTCGCGTAAAGCCACATCTTTCCTCTGGAAAATCATTTTAATGCAGCAAACTGAAGAAAAATGGTCGCAGTCGCCGTACTTACCATATCGTCTGACTTGTCCTTTTTCTTCTTGAAATAGATCTTCTTTCGGAATACTACAGCAACAATTCCAACAATGAGAAAAACTGCACAAACCGATGCCACCGATACGATGGTGTTGCCAATTTCGGGGCCCTTCACTCGGTAGTCTACTGGAGTCAACTCGTTTTCATTAGCTGGTTCAGAATCCTAACAAATTAACGAATTACTTTAGAAACAGAGTCATTGTTTTAATTACTTTTGCTATGTTTTGCTTGCTTTTGCACCAAGTGATTTTAAAGGAGGTGTTCATGCATGTGTTCTTGCATGCGGTCAAGAGTTCTTCTGACTCCACAGCTACTGAGAGAAAAGTGACTACTCTTTTTAGATCAATTTTGAAATAGCCAATCCCGAGGCGAACAATGAAACTGCCAGCACAAACTACCATTGAACTAGGCCTGGGTAACTCAGTTAATTTTTAGGAGTTGGCGCAGTCGGCGCAATAACTCAGTTCCGTTGCTGGGAAAATGTTGATGACTTTTTTTAATTGTTTCAGGTTGATTTTAAAGGCCATTTATTAATAATATGTTTTAAATGTCTTAAAATTTCAGAATTTTCCAGTTTTGGCCAAGTTCCTTTTTCTTCTAAATGCTCTTTTCTTCGTCGCTCTGTAAAAAGAATTTGGAACCAAAATCAAATAATTTTATATCAAAAAACCAACAGAATAAGCGAAAGTTTATAACAGATTACTTGAAAATCTCCGTCACCTCCATTCCTTTGAGGACTATAGAATTTGTAAAAAAATGTGGTTTTTTAGTTTCGACTGAATTTTTTTTTGCTTTACCTACTCTACTCAAAAACGCTCAATTTTCTAGAATTTCACTTAAAAATACTGACGATCCAGAGGACTTTTACGCGAAAAATTACAATATAAATTTATAACTTTGTAAAAATTTTACAAAAACTTTTTTCAACGTCGATTCGGGACAAAAACGAAAATACGTTTACCAAGTTTTTTCCCGAAAACCATTAAAGTTTTCTCCAAAACCGATCTTAAAACTAAATTTTTTAATCGAAAACGCAAAAAAATATTCTTTTCTGATGATTTCCTTCTTTTCCGATAATAATGGGGTCTTTTCAGCCTAACATGGCAAAATTAATTATGCTAGAAAATTCGCCTCATTCATCGGTTTGCAGGGAACTTTAGAAAACCAATTTCAGCTTCGAATTGGGCACAAAAAGCAAATCATTTTATTCAGTTTTTTACCGAAAGTAATTAGGATTATCTTGAAACAACGACCAGAGAACAAAAGTTTTAAAAAATGACTTGAAAAATTGACAGCCCTCATCGCTCTGAAGAATTTAAAAGTTCCTTTAAATTTTCAATTCATTCCAGTTTTAACAAAGTTTCTATTAAGCAATTCGTTCTACGCAAAAATCGCATTATTTTTTAGTTTCACTTAAAATACTGACAATCTTCAGGTATTTTCTGTGAAAAATTATAAGATACATTTTATTGGAACCCTCGCCTCCTTAACCTCTTTACAACAATTTTTGAAAAACTTTTTGCAGTTTCGAATTATGGACAAAACCCTAATAATTATTTCTAGGTGTTTTTCCAAAAATATTTCCCCGAACTGAAAAAGCGAAAGTTTATAATCATTTATTTGAAAAACTCTTGGAAACTGGAGTTTCTCACTTTAGGTCAGTAATTTTAAACAACGCTGTCTCTAAACAGCAAAATCGCGGTTTTCCTAACGTTTCACTGCAAAATACTGGCAAACCGAATCTTTTATGCAAAAAAATTAAGAGATCGATTTTACAAGAAAACTCGTCGATTTTCTTTGGACGCAGTTCTGTTGCTGGTAAAATCTGGATTACTTTTTTTAGTTGTTTGAACAAAGTAGTAAAACGTTACTCAGAGAAAATGTTAATGATCCTTTTTTAGATGGGAAAATTCCGGTCTCGGGGGTGGTAAAGCCTTAATAAATCACTTATAACTCATGAACCGACGAGTTATAACTCGTTAAATCAGAGGGCGGGAACAACTCAATAGCGCAGCTCAACACAGTGTTACCCAGGCCTAATCAGGAGAATTCGCAAATATCAGTGTGACGAAAGGAAGAAAAGAACGCAGAAAGTTCTGGGAAAACATCACTTGATAGTCACGCCGAGAAACATCTGATGCAAACCAACAGAGAAAACGTCGAAGCTTTTGCAAAAAAATCGACCTAGAAGTCAAGTACAACCAAAAAGAGCGGAAAGACAGAATGACAAAGAATGGTCTTAAGGAAACTTCTCATAACAATAAAGAGTTTCATTAGAGCTTTAGCCCGAAGTAACGGTGATTAAATACCAAGGACCAAATCAAGATATGGGACAAACCGGACAAAATTTGAGACTTTTATATGTGAGTTGGAATGAAACAAATAAAGAAATGTCAAGAACCAGGAAAAAAGGGGTTAATTTCCACCTCAGATTTAGAATCCTGTTCCAAAGAACCGTTTAAATAAAGTGTTTCCTTCCAATAGACGATAAAAGAAATATTGCTAAACAACCCTGTTTCTAAACAGAAAAACCGGGTTTTTCCTAATGTTTTACTGTAAAATACTGGAAAACTAAATCTTTAATGCAAAAAAATTAAGATATCAATTTTACAAGAAAACTCGTCGTCTTTCTTTGGACTCAGTTCTGTTGCAGGGAAAATCTACATGACTTTTTTATCTGTTTGAACAAAGTAGTAAAACGTTACTCAGAAAAAATGTTGATGACCGCTTTTTAGATGTGAAAATTCCAGTCTCGGAACTCGTAAAATTTTAATAAATCACTTATAACTCATGAACCGATGAGTTATAACCCGGTAGCTCAGAGAGCGGCAGCAACTCAATAGCGTAACTCAACACAGTGTTACCCAGGCCTACATTGAACCGTTCAACTCCTTTTCATAACCTCTTTTCGCAACATCAGTGTTTATGAGCAGCTTGATGTTAAAGGAAAGTTTTCAGGTAATAAATGTTGATTGAACCAGAGCGTGGTCCTGCTTCTTTTTATAAGGCAAAAAATGACACCTCACAGATTCCGCGGCCTATTTAGGTCCTTATCTACTCAAAGAAGCTTGCATGTTCGACATTGTTATACACTTTAAGTTTTGAAGAGCATAATGAAAAAACTAACCACAACTTCGCTTTTCCAATACTGTACACTTGCCTTAATTGGTTTTGTCTTGTTGTCCAGTTCGTTGGATTCTTCGGATTCATCCAAGTTGTTCTTTGGTGGTTCCATATAAGGAGGATTCACCGGGCGCAACGGCGTCACATCCGTATTATTCCGGGGTTTTTTCGGGATGAATTGATAATGCGGTCTCGGTGGCGGATTGTTAGCAATATTCGGAGGGGGATTGTAAACACTTGCCAAATTGTTCGGTAGATTCGAGGATGGTTTAGGTGGCGTGTTCGGGGGTCGTGGATTGAATCCGGCGAATGGATTGAAACCGCCGCCAGGGAACGGTGGCGTGTTCAAAGGAGATTTGTAGGGAGCGGAAGAGTTTAGAATGTTCACGTAAACTTCGGTTTTTGCTTCCAGTTGGCCATCGCTGAGCGTTACGTAAAGATGCAGATCGGTTCCACCCTGAAAATTTGTGAACGCTGTTAGACATGTAGAAATGTTAACGAAAATTGCTTTACTTTGCCCTTGAGCGAGTCATTTAAATAAACCGCGCCGGTTTGTGGGTCGATCCGGAACGGCAAGGGTTCAGGTGGCTTATCAGACCCAAAGAACTGAATCTGCTGCAAGCCGAAAGTGAGATTGTCATTTTCCTGATCCTTGCCATGAACCTGGACGATTTTGCTTCCGATTGGTTCGTTGTCTGGAATTTGCCAGTTGCGTTCTGTCCAGGGAATGGATGGGGGTGTATGGTCGGATAATTGGCATCCTCCTGGAAATAATAAGTCGGTTTAATTCACGAAAATTGTTGCATTAAAGTCAAACGTGTGCTCCGTTTAGGAAAAGTGTCCAAACAAGAGTTTGAAGTCATTGAAGAGCGCATCATCACGTTACAACATCCGTTGTTGTGCACGGAAACGTTTGGATCTTGTATCGAATCATTATGTTAAAAGGAGGCTTTCTAGTGGAAAAATTGATAAAATGATTGCGAAGTAGGAGTTTTTCTTTTCAATTCTGGTGCATGTTTGTGTGTGTGGAATGTTTAGAATCAGCTGCTCAGTTTTGATAACTTTTACTCTCTAAGAAGAAGCCAATTGCTTGCTAAAACCTATTGAAATCAACGTTTTGAGAAAACTGCAAATATTTTCTTGTCGATGGTTCGCTTTCTAAAAAAGCCAGGTAGTCCCCTCTGGAATGATGTAAACATAAAATTTTGGCATAATCTTGCACCTAAGTGTCTGATATTTAAATTTCGCATTCTGGGTCAAAACTATTCGGAATTTTCTCACTCGTGTTGTTCTGACTGAATCGAGTTTTCAATTCTCTATCTAACGATGCCAAAACGAATTCTGTGGCGCAAATGGTTCTTGAGAAACTTCGAAAAAAGCACCGTCATGTTTGAGTCGATTTTGTAACTCAAAAAAGAAACACGCAAATCTGAAACTTCTTAAAATCAATTCTTTTTTAAGGAAACTGCCAACAAGCCCTTATCGAGGGTTCACTTTCTAAAAAGGCAATTTAGTTCTCTCTGGGATGATGTAATAAGGGTTCTTGCTAATTTTTGCTTCAAATTTTGGCATACTCTTGCACCTAAGGGTCTGATATTCAAATTTCGCTGAAAGACTGAGTTTCTACTACATGTCCCCCTCCCTGACAGGACAGGAAAACTACATTTTCGTGACTCAATCACCCAATGCAATGCAAAGTAAATAGCAAAACCTCATTTGGAAGCCGCACTCGCTGCGAAAGTAAATTTCACATAGGTAGTTGTTGTTCTTCATAAAATGAGTAAATTAATAGAAAAACTACTAAATATCTAAAAATAAATAAGGAGTGGAACATAAATGTTGTGCGTCCATTTCGGTAAAAAGAAAACATTTAAAGGTTTCAATAGTGGAGAATGTGCGGTTATTATAGCACTTTGGAGCATCATGACCCAATTTTCCCGAGACACTTTCACTTTGCGAAGAATTGAAAGTGCGCGACTATCATCGTGTGGAATTACTGATTAACGTTACAATGAAACGGCCAATTTGACTGCAGGATCTATTGTATGCTGATATTTTTTTTAGTAACCTTTCCCAGAAAAAAAATGGTGTGAAATGGCATCTACTGGTGCTAATCTGCATGAAGTTGCAGAAATTCGTTATTTATAACAGGCGCATTAGTGAACCCCAAATCTTGCTCTGCAATACAAGAACTAAACCCGGATCCAAGCCAATGGTGTCCACCTGACTTGGACTTTCTCACCTTTATTTGACTCACTAGCGATTTTTGTACCGAAGGAACTGTTCAAGTATAACAAGCCAAAGAATAACAATAACTCTTACATAACAAGCTTTTTCGTCGGTATTTTCCATTCGGATTGTCGTGGTCTTTGATTAAAACCTGTGGGAAAATGTAATTAATAGACGGATTTTTTCCGGCGAATTCTTACCCAAGGATCCAATGGATTTTTAGCCAAAGGTGGCTTCCATCAAATTTTATGTTTTTTGTATACTAAATTTGGCAATATTTTTCAACAAAAATAAGCATTTGATGAACCTGAAGAAGATATAATGTAATCCAAGTTGCAGATCTTAGAGAAGTGATGAATGGCTGAATATCTGAGTTTTTATACATTTTGAATTGTATTTTATTTTGATACAAATAATGATGACACTTTGGATCATTACCTCCGGCTCTATTATAAAAGTATGCCACTTGTAAAGTACGTCATTATTTGTTTGGTTTATTGTCCAGTATGTGGCGAATAATCATGACTAAGCCATAAGCAGCTGGTTCGTTGACCATAACTAGTGAAGATGTTCTGAATTTATGCAAGTAATCAACAAAATTATTATTTAGCACCAACTTTTAGCGAATTTTTCCGATTCGGATTCTTAGTCTAATCTTCCACATAACAGAACCACTGTTGTGTTTTACCAGAAAATTACCTCTTCTGAGAAAGTGAAAGCTCTGAAACAACGTAAAAATTCTTGCATTTCGCAATTCCTTAAAGTCTTCCCGTCGTTGTGGTTGATTTTTGCCGAAATATTTAACCGAGAAACTTCTACGGTTCTATCAAATTAAGTTCGTGAAAAATGTTTCTTGTATGTTTAGTTAGACGTTTCGGCTTTTAAATACTATCATCAAAATAACTTACTTGAGTACAAACTTGCTGAATGCTTAAGAAAGCAAAAAAGCTGATGTTTAAAACGCGTAAAAAATAATAATCAGGTTTGTTTCCTTGTATAAATTAATTTTGAAGAAACTATATCAAAAAGTGGCTTCCCTTGGCAAGAAACTGACGAAAATAGACCTTAATTTAACCGACTTTGTACCTTTAATCTTTCACTTGTAATCTAACTTTATTAATTAAGTTTCCCAATTATATTATAGTGTGCCGTAAAGAAAGGAATACATTTGGATAAACTTATCTTCTTTCTCTAAAGGATTTTTTTCTCAGCAAAAGACTCATGTTATTATTTCTCATTGCGCACTTTTGCATTAAAAAAATTGAATATACAAGGCGTTTTCAAATTGAGATTCGACCCTCAAGATATAGATTTCAAATGAACTCGGCCCTTTTTGGTTGGATTTTCGGATCCTACGTGAAAGTACTTTTATCTATCTAAAAGTATCCATTGTCAATAGTTACCAGTTTGCTAGAAAATTGCCTTGAAAATTACTGTTGCAAAACTGTTGGATATTTGAACAAAAAGCCTCTTTTGGATGAGAGGAAAACACACTCAACAGGCTGATAATGTTAATGTTGTTGTCCAATGTCCAAAGCATAGTAAATAGTTTCCAGCATGAATTGATCGTCTAACAGAATGCCAGGCACAAGAATGATTTCAGTTCCAGCATTAAGTTAAGTAAATATGAGCATTTTTTGCAGAAAATCCTGGACTTTCCGTAGATTCCAAAATTCTAACCAAAAACTGGTGTTCTCAAACGATGTAATTTTCAACGTGAAAGTCGTATCCCAATTCTGAAATACCCTGTATACTAAAGTTTGGTTATCGAAAAATTGGTTTTCAAATGTAGAATGCGTCTTCATTTATTTAACTTTTTGTAGTTAGTAGGAAATCGTTGAAAAAACTTTTCCAAACTAGCCAGAAATAAAAATCCGACAATGTCTGATCGGGTGATCGAGCGGGCCAATTCACATTGAACGGTTAGTCGTTTGCCATTATGCGGCCGTGGTAATTTTTTCCAAAAGCTGTCGCCTGTTTATTGTGTAGTACACAGGGTGGTGCTATAAAAACGGCCTGTTCACAACAGGCAGAAAAACTGAAAAATTGATTTTGAAGTCGCCATAGAGAAATCTTCTTCAAAAAAAAGCAACAGTATCTAACAAACTTGAGGCAGTTTCAAGGCAGTTCATTTTTTCAACTTCTTGTCAGATATCCGATTTCCCACCCATTTTATCGCTCCAATGGGAAAAAACGTTAATTACCATATTCATATTAATCACTTTGATTCCGCATTATATACGTGAGAGATTAGCAACAGGACTTGGCGCACAAGAACCTTGAAGTCATAATTATGAATATTTTGTTCTGACAAAGGTAGGTATTCCATTGTCGAAATAACGCGTTCAGATTGATCAAGGCAATCAGATTTTTATGAGCGTTTGGTTGACTCGATTTACTAAGAAAAATTGGTTTTAAAATCAACTTTGCTGGATCAAACTTTGCAGTGCGGTTGATTACCTTGAATGTTGATGTGTTCGCTAATTAAAAATTAATCAGCTCGACCGCATTAATTTTCGGAGTTCGTTAGCATCAATCCTACAAGTGTAGTTTAATTATTTTTAACTATTAAGGAAACAGGGATATGTATTTAACCCGCCACTGAACTTTATGGAAGAACAATTCAGATATTCCAAGATGCATGGAAAGAACAAATATAAATCCATTCATTTAGTACAGCTTTCTTCAATGTCTTCGTCGCATTCAAGAAACTTTTACAAACCTTGCGCAATCACGAATGCAAAGGAAAGTAGCCCGATCCATGGTCTCCAATGCATGGTTCACTCAATTAATCCACTAATTGACACTTTTAATATAAATCTGTTCATAATTTGATTTTCGCATTTGAGCACCAGCACACACAAACGTATTCGCTCCACTTCGATGTTGGCGTTTTTCCGAAGAAATCCCGCAAAGGTTCTCAGGCGACGATTTTACCATGGAAACTTATGTTACCGAAGCCATATTTTCCATCGGTACCCGCGCGACTATTTGTCAATTTTTCGCGTAAAATATGTTCGCCATGTTCACGGTCAAAGCAATGAAGAACAATTCCATTCGTACTGAAGTCGAACCCACGGTTGAGCGGCGGACTGGTTTTAGAAAGTTAAAGTGTAAACACATGATTTTGGGTTTGTGCAAGTACCACAACTGTACTAACGGTACCTCTTTTAAGCGGGATATTTAAATGAAATTTAAAGCGTTTTTCATTCATAAAATTAGGCCTGACACCAGATTTAACAGGGTGTTTGAGTTACAGCCTTCAATCGCACTCAAGTCCAGCTAATTCCAGCTAAAAATGGCGATAAATCGACAGAACAAACACAATATTATTAAAAGATTAAGTAAAGGCGAGTTCAGCAGCTCGGTAGTGAAATGTCTCTAAAAATTACCCAAACAGTTTTTCAATTCAGTGAATTGGAAAGGTTTTAATTTTTTTTAATACGGTTCCGAACTTTTTGTTTAAATATATAACAGCTAAACCAAGTACAATTCGGCTTTTGAGGCCGCATTTAAAACTGAATTTTCCTCGCATGAATTAACGAATGAGAGGAAATGAAAAATACATAAGCAACCAACGCAAATGTATTTTCTTTGTACGAGTTCAAATGACGATTGTTGATGATTTTGGGAAATGTCAAATCACATTTTTTCTGGATCAATCGTACTCGTTTATGCTTCAAATGTTCAGAGTATGAGGTGAATATTTCGGTTACTGGTGTCTTCATTTTGTTCTATATCTTCTTCACTGTTATTTTCTAAAGTTGTTCGTTTTTTCTCCTATTTTGTCGCTTTTGTATTGTAGCCGAAGAGACTGAAATTAATCCTCACTTTGTAATGAATAAATCGGCAATGATCGAATGGTATTTTCGCATTTATTTTGCCTCGACTGTTGCAGTATTTATTATCTAGCTTGATTCTTAAATCCTCACTTTTTCCCTTAACTGGTTATCATTTTTTCACTCGTTATTGATTCGGTTTGTTATAGCAGAAGAGAAGACAATACTTCACAATAATTTTCCCTTTTGCATCAGTGCAGTGGAACTATTGAAAACGAGAATAAAAAGTAAACAATTAATTGGAAAAACAGTTATCGAAGCAAAATGAAAAATTGCCAATGGAATATTCAGGTGAATGTTAAGATTGAGGCAAAGATTTCTGAATCTATAAGTCCTAAAGTTGCAGTTCCGATGAGACTGCCAGGATTTCCTGAAATAGGAAATGTAAATAGTGAATCAAATAGAGAGAAAAGTGAAGAAAAAACCATAAAAAA